TTTTTTTTTTGATTTGTTTACAAATCGGATAAAATTATCGATTTTTCTCACAAATTCTACATGCAAAAAAATTTTTATCCAAAACAGAGATATGTTTCACTAAAACAGCGAAAGTTTTCTCTATTTTTGAGAAATATATCGCTATTCCAGAGAAACTTATCGCTGTTTCAGGCAAAGATTTTTTTGCGTGTAGTTTCTCTTTTTTAAATTCCTTGAAATTATCAATTTTTCTTCCAATTACTTGACTTTCTTAAATGATTTTCCATTTTCAAAATTTTCGTTTCTTAAAAAGCGTTTTTTTTGCCTCAAATTCTCGTTCCTGAATTTCTAAAATTCTTTTTCTAAGACAAAAATAAATAAAAAAAATATGTTATTTTCGAAAAAAGTACTAAAAAGATACTAAGAATTAATTTTTGGAAAACACAGCAAATTTTTAAAATTAAAAATTCTAGTTTATAATAATAAACATTTTTATATAAATAATATACACAGAAAATTGAAAGGCATTAAAATAAGTTCCAACGCTTATAATTTTAATCCCACTTTTGGTTATTTTAATCCATTTTGGTATTAAAATAAGCAAAATTGGATTAAAATAATAAGCGTTGCAGCTTATTTTAATGCCTTTTAATTTTCTGTGATATTACACAATTTTTTTCCCATAAAATTGAAAGATTATGTCATAGTAAATTATTATGAGGTACTAAAAAACATTACAGATTAAATTTATATACCATAAAAGATTAAAATAATCTATTTTTTGGATTAAATTGTTTTTTTTTTAAATTTTTGTTGAAAATAAACGTTTCCAAGTTTTTTGAAAGTTTGTAATGTTAATCTTTGGATGGATTATATTTTAATCTTAGGATTAAAGCGTTGCATCCTATTTTAATCTACTTTGTAATTAAAATAATACCCCATAATATTTACTGTGGTAAGAAATGTAATTTTGTTTAAATTTCTTGAAATAACAAAATATGGATTTATGTATGATTATTTAAAAAAAAAATCAATTATTGAAGTTTTCCTACATTTTATCTATTTTAACCTCTATTTGTACATGGGAAAAAAAATTTATTTGATTTAAATACCTCGACTATTATCTAATAAATATTTACTTCCCGTGTGGAAAAGTGATGTGGGCCCCCAGCGGGGGCCCTTATGGATCGCCCTCATGCCATGAGGGCCGCATATGGATGATCCATAGGGGCCCCTCATGGAAACGACATGCTCATCGATGAGGGCGCCCGCATGGGCGATCCATGAGGGTGCCCCTACGGGCGCCCTTATGGGCCCTCACGTTTGCCCTCATCTTGCCCTCAAGTTTGCCATAATGTTTTTTAATCAATAATATTAATAATAAAAGTTAATTAATAATAAATAAGCTTAAGTTATGAATAAATAACGTATTTATTTAATAATTATTCAATTTTAAATTAAATTCTTACTCAAATTGAATTTATTAATTAACGTTCTAATTAATTAACTGTCGGATATAATTAAAAGTAATAATAAATTAATTAATTAAAAAATTAAAAAATATGTAATTTATGCATACTATTAACGGATATTTTCATTTTTCAATTAATTCATACATAGAATTAATGATTAAACGCAAACCTGAGAAATAAATAAATCTAACGCATGGGGGGAATCGAACCTACGACCTACGGACTATGAGTCTAACGCTTTACCAACTACGCTACGCACGCTACTTCAAAACGAATGCTAACTTCTTGATGCTATTTAAACTTCAAAAATACCTAACAAAGAAAAGTGCTTAACATCATTTAGTTAAAGTTAAGATATTAAATTATATTTTCCAATCAAATGCAATTTATAAAATATAATTAATTATATGCTTTATGATTATTATCATGAATCATCTCAGGTGAATTTTCAAAAAAAGTGTAAATATATTTTTATTAAAAACGCGTTTTTCGTTGTTCTGAATCATTGGAAACATTCATTTTTTGTTGACGAAAAAATATTTGATTTTTGGACTTAGAAAATTTTGCTAATCGATCATGAGGGCGATCCATGCGGGGCCTCTATGGTGCCCCTCATGGATTCGCCATAAGTGTGAGTGTTATTTTCAAAAAAAGTGAAAATATATTTTAATTAAAAACGCGTTTTTCATTGTTGTGAATCATTATAAACATTAATTTTTTGTTGACGAAAAAATATTTGAATTTTGGACTTAGAAAATTTTGCTAATCGATCATGAGGGCGATCCATGCGGGCCCCTACTGTGGCCCTCATCTATTTTGCCATAAGTGTGAGTGTTATTTTCAAAAAAGTGTAAATATATTTTTATTAAAAATGCGTTTTTCGTTGTTCTGAATCATTATAAACATTCATTTTTTGGTGATAAAAAAATATTTGATTTTTGGACTTAGAAAATTTTGCTAATCGATCATGAGGGCGATCCATGCGGGCCCCTACGGTGCCCCTCATGGATTCGCCATATGGATCAGCCCTCATGGGCCCCCGCCGGGGGCCCCGAACTCTTGAGGGCAAGATCGTGGCTTTTTCCACACGGGTTGAATCAAATTTAATTTTATTTACATCAAATAAATTATATTTGCATCAATAATTTCTGTATTTGAAACAAATATCATCTCAAATAATAATTAATTGATAGAAATAAATATATGACACGCTCATGAAGAAAAGGGACCTTAGAAGCAAAAAAATATAGGTTATATTTTAACAATTAAAATATACACAATGAATATCAACTCTCAATAGAAATAATTAATATTTATCTTCATTACATCAAAAATATTTAATAAAAACTGATATTAATTTTAGAAAACTAAAAAGTAACTTTTAAAGGTAAAATAACAGTAAACATAACCTCTAATTCGTTTGCTTCTAAGGTCCCTTATGGCGTGTCAAATATTTATTTGATCATACTCAAATAAAATAAATATTTATATATTTTTATATTTATTTAAATCAAATAAATTTTTTATTTTTATTTGCAAAATTAAATTAGAAAAGGCGTCGAAACGAAAAATTGAAAATCAATTTCATCCTCTGTATGATTTATAATAAGAAAAATATTTTCTTAATCGTGCGCCGGAGGTCTCTATTCTATTCTCGTGAAATTCATTAGTCAAAAATCACGACTTCTTCTTTAACACCATAGAGACATATTATATAGAAGTTAAAAGAGAGAATGTGAGTAAACGGCGTGAAGAAAGATCAGGACGCAGGCTCTCGCGGTATATCATGCGTCCCTCGTCCTCTATTAATTCTGTCTTACTCTCTCCTTTCTTCATAAATGCCGCATCGTCGTTCCCCTTTTTACTTCTCGAGTCACCGTTCCGTTTTATATATATATTATTATTAGAACACAGTTTTCTTTCTCTCTTTCTCTCTCTCTCTATCTATTTATCTCAAACATCACAAGCTCTCAAAGTTCTTTTCTTTTTGTAAAAAAAAAAAAAAAAATGTTCCGATATATTGTCTTTTTAATAATAAAAATATCGTGTCTTTTTTTTAATATCAATAATTTTTCGAATTATTTTCTCGATTTTTTCCCCCTCTATTTTCAATGTGTTGAGAATAATATTTATAGTTGTAAAAATAACTAAAATATTGCAAAAAATAAAAATTATTATTATTATTATTATTATTATTATTATTTGTGGCATTTTATCATCTGTTAATTATTTTGTTTATAAACAATGGATTAGAGAAAATTTATCTAAACTGCGATTTGTTTAATCCCAACAAATGTGTTTGTTTTATTGTTGAAATATAAATACACCATTCGTTAGAAGGAAAAAAATAATGAAAAAAAAAAAATATTTTAAATATTATTAAAATTATTATAAATATTGTTTGAAAGTGACTTTAAATATTTAATAATTTTTTTTTTTAATTATTTATTAAGAATATAATAATATTAATTTATTATTTCATTCGGACGCATGATTATCCCGAGTTATGCTATAAAAATCAAAATTTTCATTTTTTAAATTCGCTTTTAACTGAATTTCTTTTTATACGAATTTTTGTTTAACAAAATTTTTTAGCTACCAAATTTTTGTTTGGCATTATTTTATTATTTTACAGCCACTTAATTTACATAGGTTTTTATTAAAAAATTTACCAAATTTTGACGAATTTTGATTTAAGCGAATTTTTAATTTAGAAATATTCTCATTTAATTGAATTTTATGTGATTCGAATTTTTAAATAACAGAAATTTCAATTCAACGAATTTTTATTTGTACAAATTATTATTTGTCCGAATTTTTATTTATACGAATTTTTAATTGAAAGAATTTTTAAGACGCCTAATTTTCATTTGTCCGAAATTACAAATTATCCGGACAAATAATGAACAGAAAGATTTCGGCACAATTTTAAAAATTCACCAATTAAAAATTATCGCAAGAAAATTGTGAATAGTCAATTTTCAAAAATTTCCACCGAAATCTGTATATGTCGATTGTTTGTTCGGTCAATTTGTAATTTCGGACAAATGAAAATTCGGAGTCTAAAAAAATTCTATCAATGAAAAATTCGTACAAATTAAAATTCGATTGAATGACAATTTTACTAAATTAAAATTAGCTTAAATTAAAATTTTTCCAAATAAAAAAATCATGTAAATTAAATGACTGTAAAATAAAAATTCTGCGAAATCAAAAATTCGTTAGCTAAAAATTATGTAAAAATTTGTATAAAAAAAAAAAAATATCTTTCAATTTTTAATTTGAAAATTCGTGTGAAAAATAATGATATCTAATAAAATATATTTTAAAATAAAAATTCTAATTATATAATGATTTTTAATGGGAAATTCATATTAAAGAAAGTTATTTTAATTATTATTATAAATTAATATATGCGAATATCAAAAACGATTTTGAAATTCAAGAACGATATAATTATATTAAAATTATTTACGATCAAAATGTGTTATATCATTCTTAATAGTCTAAATGTGTTTATTGTGACATGTAATTTCTGAAAATTCATACCTTGATGAATGGACGAATATGTTAAAGTTGGAGACAGCTGCTGAGGTTCCTGTTTAATTTTAACGGGACGAAGTGGATCCTGCAGGATGCAGAGGGCCGAGGAACTGAGATTGCCATTTCCTTGTTGCATCTCCTGAATAAAAAAAAGATTTTTTTATTTGTCATATATACTAATAAAATAAAATAAAATAAAAATATAATAATAAATAATTATAAAAATATTAATAAAAATAATAATAAAAATTATAAAAATTATAAAAATTATAAAAATAATAAAAATAGTAAAAAAATAAAAGTGATAAAAATAATACAATAAAGAAATAAAAAAATGTGTAAAAAATAGTTGTTTTAAAATTAGTGTTTCATAGAAATATTTTGTTTAAAAAAATGAAAAACTTTTTTAGCCAAAATAGCATACACATATAAGTTATCGTCTATTTAAAAAAAAAACCCCCCGGAAAAATTAAAAAATATTTTAAAAATCTCGTCAAAGGGAAAAGGAAAACAACGCGAAAATGGAGAAGATCGCAAAGAGGCTCTACTATATAGCTTTTAAGAATAATTGTGTTACGAGCTTGTGATGTTTGAAGTCTCGTCACAGGAAGCTTATAAACAACGGCAGAGTGTTGTGACATCCGTATTATGTCATGCGAAACTTACGATCTCGGTAGATCGTTAATTTGCAATTTGACTTTATAGTTATATAATTCAGATAACAGATTTGAAAAATTTTTTTTTTTTTTATTTTCATATAATTTTACAATAAAAAAATCAACACCTCCTTTTTAAATATTCAGAAAATTATTTATAAAAAATAATTTCTACATTTATTCAATTGAGGAAAATTTGGTGAAGAAAAAATTCTTTTTATAAAAAAATCTTATTTGTAGAAAAATGTATTAAAAAAAAAAAAAATTAAGATGTATTCATATATGAAGTGGCACGCGAGCTACCGAAGAAGTGCATCACGTCGTCGACGTTGAGAAATTACATCGTCGTTTAGCGACCATTAAATTAAAGCGCATTGCTTTTATTAACAATATACATTGTGGTTCCAAGAAAACACCTTCTCGTTAAATCAACCCGTATAAATAAAAAACAAAGGAATATTAAAAGAAAATTAAAAATAGAAATAAAAAAAAAAAAATCTAAAAAATTTTTTACTCAAAAATTTCTGTTCACTGCTTAATAAAATTTTTCTTGTAAAAACGAATAAAATAAATTTTTTTAAAATCATGAGGAAAAAAAAAATAATGAATCGAACCAACAAATTCAATACATAATCAAAAAAATTTTCAGTATCGCTTCAGGCAAGAATAATAAATTCAAAGGAAGAACTTGAAGCAAAAGGCAATGTGATATGCATTGATTTTTCCAAGAGTGTAAGATTAAACCTTCATAATCTGACCTTGGCGATTATTCTTTTAAATGATAATAAGTTATGTATATAACCTATATATACATATACTTATTCCATTCATTTAATTATTTTTTCCCCCCTAATTCACATTTTAATTGACCGCAATATTATAATAAATAAAAAAAATAAAAAAATTAGGAGTTCTAAAACTATAAAATCCCGTGTATTGGAAAATGAATTATTGAAATCAAAATTCAATTATATATTTAAAGAAAGGTGAGAAAAAAGAAAATTAAATATAAAACAAAATAAGACCATTCATAAAATCAAGAAAAAGTAATGATGAAGCGCAGTTTCAATAATTGCGAAATATTTTCAAAGGCCGTGACCTCTCCTTGTCTATCGGGTTCATTCGTTTCTCATCCAAATTGATAACAGAGAAAAGTGACGCCTACTAATATGTATATATATATATCAGTGAGTGAATTTCATAAATAAACAATTTGCAGTGCACCTTTCTTTTTTTTTAATTATATATAAATATAGAATTTGATATACCTAATCTTTTATATTATATCATAAAATGATAATAGAGGATTCATAAAAATTTATCTCATTATTATCATTTACTTTCTAAAGAATTAGCGAGAATTCGTTTGCTAATTTCAATTAGTAGAAATTTTCGTAGTAATTTTTAGTAAAAATGTTACTATTGTGATTTGATCGATTTCAGTGAAAAATGATTAAAAATTACTCTCTAAATCTAAATTAGTAAAAATGTTCACTAATTTAAATTAGTCACTCACTTTTTGCTTCTGAATTAGTAAAATTTTACTAATTATTAGTAAATTTTACTAACAATTAGTAAAATTTAACTAATTCTAAAGCAAAAAGTGAGTAACTAATTTAAATTAGTAGACATTTTTACTAATTCAGATTTAGAGAGTAGTAGAAATTTTCACTGATTTTTAGTAAAATATTACTATTTGATTTAGGGTCAGTTGGGGTAAATGGGGACAAAATCACTATTTTTCAATTACGTAAGTTTCTTTCTTTAAAAGGTAATATTTGCGGGTTTATATTTTTTTAAGTTGTTATTTACGTTCCCAGAATTAATTTTATGCAACAGAAAAAAATTTAGATAAGCTTTAAACGCATGAAACTGACTGTTCCCATTTACCCCAAAATTTAGAAAATTTAATAAAATTCGGGATAAATGGGGACAGCATAGTTTCTAAGAAAGTTTTAAGAAAAAAGTTTCCTTAAGTATATTACTGTATTAAGGGATGAAAAAACTTGAAAAAAAATTTTGTAGTAGATATATATATAATAGTTGAACCAATTGAAATTTTTTTATTTTTTTTTATTTCAGTATTTTGTCTCGCATTTGAGAAAAAAAATCGGACTTAAAAATCATACCAAATTTTTTTCTTATTCCATATGACTCCCATAACAGAAATTCACTTGAATTTTTGATTTTTGTCAATTTGGTTAATAATGACAAGCTGTCCCCATTTACCCTGAGTTTTCAAATTTTTGGGGTAAATGGGGACAGTTTGTCATTATTAACCAAATTGATAAAAATCAAAAATTCAAGTGAATTTCTGTTATGGGAGTCATATGGAATAAGAAAAAAATTTGGTATGATTTTTAAGTTTGTTTTCTTTGAAATGCGAGACAAAATACTGAAACAGTTTGACTTTGATTTTCAAGTTTTTCTGCATTGAACGATAACTTTTTTTATCTTGCTGCCAATTGTCAAGATAAAAGCTTTGGCAATACTCAAAACCTTCTGCAGGTGATCTGAGGTTAAAATATTGACGTTAAACTTAATTTTAAAACTGTAAATTAAGCTCCAAAACCTCTTGTCCTCATTTACCCCCTGTCCCCATTTAGCCCAACTGACCCTAGTGATGATTTTTTTTTACTAAAATTTCAATAAAAAAAATGACTAAAAAATTGTTTAGAAATTTTCTCTAATTTTTAATAAAATACTACTATTTATTTAGTAATGATTTTTTTCATTAAAAGTCCAGTGAAAAAAAAACTAAAAAATAGTCGAAATTTTCACTAATTTTTATTAAAATATTACTATTTGATTTAGTAATGATTCTTTTTACTAAAATTCCAGTTAAAAATTTGCTAAAAAATAGTAGAAATTTCCATTAATTTTTATTAAAATATTACTATTTTACTACTTACTACATTTTTCCCGTATTTTAGTACATTTTACTATATTACTATTTAGTAATGATTTTTTTACTAAAATTTTAGCAAAAAATAACTTAAAATTAGTAAAAATTTTCACTAATTTTTATTGAAATAATTTACTAATTTACTACTTACTATATTTTTATTTAATTATTTTATTATATTACTATTTACTAATATTTTTTTTACTAAAATTAGTGAAAAATGACTAAATATTAGTAGAATTTCCACTAATTTAAAATATTATTATTTGATTTAGTAATATTTTTTAAAATAAAATTTTAGTGAAAAATTACTAAAAATTAGTAGAAATTTTTGCTAATTCAAAATTCAGAAGTACTATGTATATAAATATTTTTTTCAAAATTTGTTTGTGTCTTCGATAAAAAAGATCTTATATAATATTATAAAATTTATTAAATTAAAAAAATAGATCACTTACCCCAGGTACTGAAACTAAATGTGAGACCATTTTTCGTCAATCATTTCTGCAACAAAAAAATCATCAATTCAAATTAGTTGATAATTAAAATTAAAATTCATGGAGAATTTTGGTAAATCTTTTCCCTTTTTTTTTCCCATCAGTAATTCCGACAAGAAAATTGCATATAATTATTATAAAATTGGAAAACAATAATATTTTGCGAAATTTTTTTTTAGCATTGTTTTTTTATAATTTACAAAATTTTATTTATTTATTAACCCACTTGGAAAGATTCACCGGAAAGTGCCCTCTGGAGGTTCTATCAGAATTCCGCCGGAACTTTCAACGTAATTCCGTCGGAATTCCATGGGAGTTCCAAAGAATTTCCTATGGGATTCCGACGGAATTCTGACGGAATTCCGATTAATTTTTTTCAAAATTTTTAGAGTCCTAATTCCGTCGGAATCCCATCGGAAATTTTTTGGAACTCCGATGGAATTTCGACGGAATTACGTTGGAAGTACCGGCGGAATTCTGATTAATTTTTTTCAAAATTTTTAGAGTCCTAATTCCGTCGGAATCCCATCGGAAATTCTTTGGAGCTCCGATGGAATTCCGACGGAATTACGTTGGAAGTTCCGGCAGAATTCTGATAAAACCTCCAGGGGGCACTTTTCGGGGAATCTTTCCAAGTGGGAAGTGCTTCTGCACATTTTTTCCAATTTATAAAAAAAATTTCTATTTCTGTATTTTTTGTAAATAAATAAATTAATTAAGTTTATAATTGTTAAATCAGTTAATTAGGTTATTATACTAGTTCAAAAAAAATCTAATAAAATACATGTTGTAAAGAAGGCTGCCTTTTTATATATATATATCTTCAAAGATTTTGAGCGTGTTCTTATTATATTCGGGAGTGAGAAAAAAAAATGTTAAATATAAAAAGAGACAAAGTGAGACATATAGACCGAATGATAACTTGAGTTTAAAGCGACGTGCAGGAACATGGTACGATACCCTAAAATGCCGAGTGCAACACGCGGTTGACAAGTCACGAACAGCTGAGCACTTAGCACTTCTTCAAGCTTGTTGTCTGCTTAGATACGAAGCGATATACATCCAATGATTCTGCATAGACGATTCTAAAGTATCTCAAGGGACTCTTTGGAACTTCCGCCGGCACGCGGCACATTTATATATATATATACAAAGTTAGAATTTCGACACATCAGGAATCATCACGGCGCCAATCGTAAATTTTCTCCCCCCTATTTCCCCCCCTTAATGCCGTCATGCAAACAAGATGATTTTTCCCCTCCCTCATCCCTCACCGACCAAAAATATTTTATAAAGAAATATATATACATCAAAACATGACATTTAATAGCCCTTCAACTTTCCGCCTAAGTAGCTGTTAAAAGTACAATTTCATCAGAAACAATTTTTAAATAGTGCTTTTTTAAATAAAAAAGATACTATCGTATATATTATTTTTATTTTTATTATTTTTTTTGCTTTCTCATATGAGACAAAGATATAATTTTATTTTCCTCTCATCTTAATGAAGAAATATTTTCTTAATTTATGATCAAAATTTTTTTCCTATAATTTTATAAATTTTCGAACTAAAGATAAGACGAAGTCGAGCCAAGTCGAACCGAAGTCGCACAGACAGCGAGTATTGAAATCATCCGAACCTAAAAATTACTACGTGCGAGCCACATACGCTATTTTTTTCGCCATTGTTATAAGAAAGTAAAACACTTTTAAAGAAATATATATATATATATATATATATATATATATATATATTATATAATCTTCCTATATTACAAAAAGATATCGCCGCCGCCACCTCCGGCGCTGTTTCAAGAATTCTTGACCTAGGAGGGGGGAGTCCCCCTCCTAAATTTTGAGGTTATGTTCGTTTCAAGGCTCTGAATATAGCCACAAGTTCCCCTCCCTCCACTCATTTCCCCTCCTCCGTCAAAAATGACCTAAATTTTGAGGTTATGTTCGTTTCAAGGCTTTGAATATAGCCGCAAGTCCGCAAGTTTGTTTTAAGAACCTAATAAAGCAGTAGGTCCTTCCCCCTTCGCTCATCTCTCTCTGTATTTCCCGCCAAAAATGACATAAATTTTAAGGTTATGTAAATTTCAAGACTTTCAATACAGCCGCAAGTGAAGGTGGAGTTTCCGCCAAAAATGACTTGAATTTAAAGGTTATGTTCGTTTCGAGACTTTTTAATAATTTATTGGTTGTTAGACAATTTCATTGAAATTATTTTTAAAAATAATTTCTTAATGTCGATTTTAATTTATTTAATTATTTATTTATTATTAATTTAATTAATTTATTAATTAAAATTTAATAATTTTAATTTTAATAATATTTATTTAGATTTCAATGAATTTGTAATAATAATTCTTTGAAATAGGTGGTTCATTTGGAAAAATAAGATCAATGGAAAATTAAAAAAAAATGATTAAAATATCTATTCACCTGCCCAAAACAAGCACAAAAAAGACACTTTTTCATGTCAATGGCGAAAAAAATATTTTTCCATTTAAAAAATTCTTAATTTAAAATCTTAATTTCAAGAAAAAAAATGTTTTTTGTTTATAAACTGCGCGAGGAATTATTTTCTTAATTGAAAGAAGTTCTTCTTGATTCCAAGAATTTATTGTTTTGGAAATTATTTGAAAAAATATTCTTTAATTGCGTGAAAGAATTTTTTTCTTGATTCCAAGAATTATATATGAATATTAATTAAAGAAATCACAGCAAATTATGAGATATTATTTTAATATCAAAAATAAATTAAAATAAAATGCAAAGCTTTAATCCATATCAAAGATTAAAATTTCAAACATTCAAAAAAAAAAAGAACTTTACAAATTCTATCAAATTTGTGCACACAAAAGATATATTTGCGTCTCAGAGCTAAATAAATTTTTATTTTGTTTCAAATAAATAATTATTTGTTTGCAAATAAATTTTATTTATGACAAATACAATTTTTATTTACATCGCAAATTAAGGAAGTTATTAGATTCTAAAACAAATATATGTTTATTTAACTCAAATATATATATATATGTGACGTTCCATGAGGAAAGGGACCTTAGCTGCAAAAAAATGAAAATTGAGTTTTTGATATCAGTCGATAGATCTTGAGTTGCTCTTTCAGATACAAAAGTTAAAAATTGTACTTTTCTATTTAGTTTTTTTGTTATAAAGCATTAATCATTACCATGTTAATCGCGTTCCAGCACGGACTACAGAAACCATCCCCACCACTTCTACACTAGTATACTTGTCGTAAGCGTGAGCTGTAGGAACGATGTAGTAGTAAGGTGGTGGGGCTGATTTTCGATGGAGGGTCTCAACCAATCAGGGACGCTCCACTTTAAATATCTTTTCTGGAAAATGCGTCTATTGCAGCTAAGATCCCTTTCCTCATGGAACGTCACATATATATATATATATATATTGTATTTGTTTTAAATAAAATATTTCTCTGGGTATTGTGAAAAAAACGTAATTCAAAAAATTGATTAAATGTTTTATGATATATATATTAATATTAATATATTTATCTCAAAGCCAAATATATATTTATTTATTTTAAATAAATTTTATTTGAATTAAATAAAAATTATATTTGTGCTAAATAAATTTTATATTTGTCCCAAATATAAATGCTACTAAAAAAGATTTCTCTTGATGTATTTTTATTTTAAATAAAACTTTATTTGAAATTGAAAAAATATTTCTTTAAATTAAACAATCTTCTTTTTAAATCAAATAAATTTTTTTTTTAATTATATTTTAATAAATATTCTTTAATTCAAAGAAGTTCTTTAAATGTTTTAAATGTAGAAAAATTTTCTTTTGATTACACTACGAGAAATGGTATATTTGTCTCCGAGCCTACTAACTCATTTATTTGTTTCAAATATATTTCATTTCATTGAAATAAAAAAATTATTTGAGCCAAAGAAAAATTTATTTCTGACAAATAAAATTTTTATTTACGCCAAATAAATAAGTTAGTAGGCTCTGAGACAAATATACGTTTATTTAACTCAAATATATTTTATTTGGTTCAAATAAATCATTTCTCTGGGTGTAAAAAGAAATCCTTTGACTCCGAAAATTGTTTTTTTAATTAATTTATTATTTTATTAATTATTTATTTAAATAAAAATAAATATTCAAACTAATGTCCGATTCTGTGTTCGAAAGTTCGAAGTCGAAAATAAAAATTTAAAGAAATATTCCTTATAATTAATAAAAACGGTTTCCTTCACTCAGAAATAAAAATTCGTTTGAAACAACCAAATTTTAGTTAAATCAACAAAATAAATGAATTGATATACAGTTAACCAAACATTTGGTTGCATAAACCAAACGTTTATTAATAGCTCAAATAAAATTTTTTCTTTGTTCAAAAAATTTATTAAAATAAACCAAACAGTTATTTAAATCAAATAAATATTTATTTGAATTAAACAAATTTTGTTTGAACTAACCAAAAAATTGGGTAAATATAAAAAAATGGTACATTTTGGTTCAAACATATCTTTTATCTGAGTGTTGAGGCGCATGATTATCCCATAAAAATCATTAGTTAAAATTTTGATTTGATAGTTTTTTATTAGATATAATTATTTTTTAGACGAATTTTCATTTTTTGAATTAGAATTTTCAAACAATTGCTCTTTAAACGAATTTTTATTAAACAGAATTCTTCAAACGCCGCGAATTTTTATTTGTCTGAAATTGTAAACGACCGAACAAACATAATCAACAGAAAGATTTTGGCGCGTTTTTTAAAATTGACCAACCAAAAATTGTCATGAAAATCGTGATTGGTCAATTTTAAAAAACGCGCTGAAATCTTTCTGTCGATTGTTTTTTCGGTCATTTGCAATTTTAGACAAATAAAAATTCGGCGTTTTAAGAATTCTGTATACAATAAAAATTCGTTTGAAGAGAAATTGTGTCAAATTCTAATTTAAAAAATGAATATTCGTCTAAAAAATAATTATATTTAATAAAATTCTTTCAAATCAAAATTGTAACTATAATGATTTTTAGAGGATAATCATGCGCATATATATATATAATATTAATCATATATATATATATATATATATATATATATATATATATATATATATATATATATATATATATATATATATATATATATATATATATATATATATATATATATATATATATATATATATATATCAAAAATTCTTCTATGGCAAAATTTTTTTTCTATTAAAATTTTTTTCAAATATAGTTTTTTTTTTTAATAAAAAATTGTTTTTATCCTTTCTACTTGTAACGTGCGAAAAGACATTTATCTCTTTGTTTGGAAAACCGGGCTACATAGTTGACATTAAACAGAAAGTTTCGCGGAATGGAGTTTACAAACTCGACAAAATTTACTGATGGTTTGTTTTATGAATCTTGTTGAAATGTTCAAAATACAAAATATTCTCCACAATTCCATTGCTTCTGACTTTATATTTTTTTCAATGAATAAATTATTTTTCTCATTACGCATTGAACTGTATTTCATTTTTTGAACCAAATTCACATAAATTTTGAACAAAAAAAAAAAAAAAAAACCAAATTTAAAAAAGAAACAATTAATTATTTATGACTTTTTAAAAAAATTATTTTAAACTGAAAAAAATGGCGTATTCTAATTATTATTAAAAAAACAATTGTCATATATCAAAGGTGTTTCAATTAAAGACATTTTGTGTATATTTAAAACACTAAAATATCTCAAAAAATTAAATTAAAAAAAATTTATAAATAAAAATAATTAAAATATAACGGGCAATAATAATAATAATAATAATAAATAATAGTAATAATAATAAATATATAATGATTTTGAATTAAAATTACTCACAGCCAATAAAAAAAAAATTGATCCAAAAAACACTGATTTTACACTGAAAGATATATCCATTCAGATAGTCTCCTTGTATTATTATCCAGGCTATATGCAAAAATCAGCGATTCTTATATATAAACACTTGTATTAAAAAATAAATAAAAAGAACAAATATTTTTTTTAATCCATTTGGTAATCGCACCGTTAAATTGCACTATAATAAATGTTTTCTTTTGTTTTTTAGGAGAAATTAAAATCAAATTTTTGAAATTTGCCAAATTCGCGAAATAAACGATTAAACGAGATTTAAAAAAATAATACGCGACGATATAAGTGAATTTTGTATATTATTGATGAAAAGAGTTGCACATCGAACTAACAGCAACAAGAGGCTAAAGCTAAACTAAAACAGAATTGAGATTGGGGCCGGCTCTTGATGTCAACTTCTTCGTCAAAGCTCAACATTAAATTCAAAAGGTGGAGGGAACAGAGAGGCGGAGTTATATGCTATATACTGCTAACAAAATCCCTCCCCGTTTTAATATATATATATATATATATATATATATACATGTTGAACCAACACAGACAATTATTTATAATCAATTATAATAAATTATTTTGAAACTATATAATTTATCAAAAAAAAAAAAATTAACTTTTCTTCTTTCATTCAGGAAATATAACTGTTGACTACAAAATTTTTTTTTCAATCAATCAATTTTAATAGAATCAACGATATTTTTGAATTAATTATTTTTTGCTTTAAATTAAAATTTATCTTTTAATTAATAAAATCCTGCTTTGCATCAATTATATACAGTTTTCTTACACTTTATTTATAAATTAATGAGAATTCGTTAAAATCCAAATTAGTAGAAATTTCCACTAATTTTTATAGTAAAATATTACGATTTGATTTGGTACACTGAAAAAAAAATTTATTTGATTCAAATACCGGTGTATTTGGTTATTATCAAATAAATATTTACTTGAATCAAATATTTCAGTAATTGAAGCAAATACCATTTATTTGATTCAAATAAGAAATATTTGATTCAAGTAAATATTTATTTGATAATAACCAAATACACCAGTATTTGAATCAAATAATTTTTTTTTTAGTGTATTTTTTTTTTACAAAAGTTACTAGTCAAAAATGACTAAAAATAAGAAGAAATTTTTACTAATTTTTACTACTAAAGTTAATAGTGATTTTTAATAAAGTATATATTTGATTTAATAATTTTTTACTAAATTTTTTGTGAAAATTGACTAAAAAAATTAATAGAAAATTTCACTAATTTTTAGCTATAAATATTACGATTTGATTTAGCAGTATTTTTTTTACAAAAAAATTTTAGTGAAAAATGACTAAATATTATATATTAGTAGAAATTTTCACTTAAATTTTTAATAAAATATTACGATTCGATTTGGTAGTATTTTTTTAAACAAAAATTGTAGTAAAAAATAACTAAAAATTAGTAGAAATTTTTACTAATTTTCATGAACGAATTCTCACTAATTTAAATTTAAAGAGAGTATATATATACACTCAGAGAAATGGTATATTGGTCTCTTATTTGTTGCAAATATATTTTATTTCATTGAAATAAAAAATTTATTTGAGGCAAAGAAAAATTTATTTCTAACAAATAAAACTTTTATTTACGCCAAATAAATAAGTTAGTAGGCTCTGAGACAAATATATACGTTTATTTAACTCAAATATATTTTATTTGGTTCAAATAAATCATTTCTCTTCGTGTAGAAACAAATTTTTTAAAATTCAATTAACCAAATTTTTCATATTTATTATTGACCTAGAGAAATATTTTATTGGCGTTTATTTGTGACAAATAAAATCTATTTAAATGAAATAAAAAAAAATTTGTCTCCAGAGTTAATAACATTTTTATTTGTTTCAAATAAAAAAAATTGTTCAGTGCAATTAAAATTTTATTTAGCACAAATAAAATTTTTAACTAAAAAAAAATTTATTTAACTTAAATAAAATTTATTTAAAACAAATAAAATTTATTTTTAAAAAAATAAAATACTTATATATGGCTTCTGAGAGACAAATATACATCTTTTTTCCTTTGAGTATTGAATTATACTAAAATGAATTAATTTTTAATTTACTGCATTCAATTCATAATTTTTTTTTTTTTGTTGCACATGTGAAAAATTGACGTTTTTGTATTTTTTATAATGCTCAATAGTCTTATGTAACCAAAAAAAAATGCTTATTTTGCATTCCGAAGACAAAATTGAGCAATCTATATATATGTAATTATCACAATGAAAATCGAGGTCATGACCACAGTATATAAATTTTATTTTATTGTATACGTGTCAAAAGTATATTTTTTAATTTTAATCTGTAAGAATAATTATTAAAAAAAAAATCTTTAATTTTCTCAAAAAATACACGCGAGTAATTTTATATCACATTTCAATAAAAGGTTCTTTACATATATATTACAATTAAGAATTTATTTACCTTTTCCAAGTCGGAAGCAAATTATATATTTAAAAAAAGTGCAAGAATGTACGAATGTTTTTTTGTTTATACGAAAAAGTTTCATTATTGCAAAAGTTTATTCTTTAAAATATATATGAGTCATTATATACGTTTATTTTATAATATACTTTTAAAATCCGCATTGATTATATATAATATTAAGGATTGATAATAATTTAATAACTGCGGTCCTAAAAATAAATATATTATATGAACAAATATTTTATATATTAATATATAAAGAACATTATCGTGAATATATGTAATAAGTCTGACTAAAATTTACCTACACTACTTGCCGGAAGAATTTCTTATTCAATTCGGAAATTAATTGAAAATAATGATAATGAAATGAATGCAATATAAAAAAATTTAATCCTTTTTTTACAATGAAATGTTAATATAACATATTTATTCAATATTAAATATTAATTTTAATATTATATTATATTAATTATAATTATATTAATATAATAATATTAATATAATAATATACACCCAGAGAAAAATTATATTTAAACCAAATATATTTTATTTAAATTATTAAATAAACGTATATTTGTCTCAGCACCAACCAAACCTTTTTATTTGTTCTAAATAAAAATTTTATTCGACATAAATAAAACATATATTTGAGCCAAATAAAATTTATTATTATTATTATTTATTTTTTTTAAATAAAAAGGTATTTTCACTAACTACTTATAAAATATTTTTTATACAATGAAAAAAAATTTATTTCAATTAAATAATCTGTATATTTGGATTAATAATTTCTGTATTTGAAACAAATACCATCTCAAATAATAATTATTTGATTCAAATAAATATTTATTTGATAATAGTTAAGTAACCGCGATTATTTGAATCAAATAATTTTTTTTCATTGTAATTTTTTGAAAAAAAAAGATTGTTAAAAATAACGTAAAATGAAAACTTTAAAAAAAAAAAAATTATATTCAATTGAAACAATTTACGTCAAGTTTTATATTGGTACCACACAACTGTGGGGAAGGCAGTAACTTTGACGATTTGTTCATTTATAAAGTGGGGAACGGAAATGGTCACCATGTTGGGGCGGCTTGGCGTTTTGTAAGCTTGCTGCTCATTGGTTAACGTCACAAGCGGTAATATTGACTAGGAAACGTTTCGTACCAGCCCAACAAGGGTTTCTCAACTCGATTGTCAGAACGATAAATCACTATCTAGTACACGTACATTCAATTTTTATTTTATCATTTTTTTTCTGTTATAAAAGAAAAAAAACAAGCAGTAATACCACAAAATTATTATTTTAAAAGGGAGAAAAATCAATTTTCAAAAAAATAAATTAATAAAAAATTACTTCTTTTAAATTTGTTAAAACATTCCTTTTTTTAAAAACAACTTTGGCATATTATTATTATTATTATTTATTATTATTATTATAACAATAATTTAAATTTTATATAAGCTCGTTTATTACTGTAAATATTACTTATTTATTTATTTATTTATTGAAAATATACGGGCAAAGCCCATTCATACAGATTACTATAAAGATACATTATGTCTATGATTTATTTGAACTAAATAAAATATATATTTGAGTTAAATAAACGTATATTAGTCTCAGAACCTACTAACCTATTTATTTGGCATAAATAAAAGTTTTATTTGTCAGAAATAAATTTTTCTTTGCCTCAAATAAATTTTTTATTTCAATGAAATAAAATATATTTGCAACAAATAAATAAGTTAGTAGGCTCGGAGACAAATATACCATTTCTCTGAGTGTGTTTATTTTATATTAATTGGCTGCATTGTTATTATAATCATTGAAAATTAAGATATGCAAATTATTAATGAAAGTAGTGAGTGAATTACAGAAAAAATCAATGCTGTTGTTAAACTGATTATTGTTATTATTATTATTAATTTATTTTTTTTTAATGTACAGGCTTGCCAATTTGTAAAAAAATGCCCTTTAGTTTAGAAGCATTATGATTATTATTATTATTATTACGATACGTGCTTCTATTTATTATTATTATTATTATTATTATTATTATTATTATTAATTAATTATTCAAATATTATTTCAAACAGAAAATATTTAGACATTAAGCATTGATAAACATTTGTTTAAGTATTTATATAATATTTATATAAATCTTCAACATTTGAAATAAATAACACAAATTTATATTTATTATTGAATCTTATTAATTAACAATAAATTAAAAATAATATAAATATTTTTCTCTTATTGCGCGATACACTCAGAGAAATGGTATATTTGTCTCCGAGCCTACTAACTCATTTATTTGTTGCAAATATATTTCATTTCATTGAAATAAAAAATTTATTTGAGTCAAAGAAAAATTTATTTCTGACAAATAAAATTTTTATTTACACCAAATAAATAAGTTAGTAGGCTCTGAGACAAATATAGGTTTATTTAACTCAAATATATTTTATTTGGTTCAAATAAATCATTTCTCTGAGTGTATGAGAGAAATATATTTTGTTGTATATTGTTAATAAGATTCAACAATAAATATAATTATTAAATTGTTTATTCAAATTTTTATATAGAAAATAATCATTTATGAATTTTTTTAATTTAATTTTAATGATTTTTTTGGCGACCTTTACAAAAATATAAAATTGTATTTGCGATTTTATGGATTTTTCACCCACAGAGAAATGATTTTATTTGAATCAAATAAAATATATTTGAGTTAAATAAACGTATATTTTTCTCAGAGCCTACTAACTTATTTATTTGGCGTAAATAAAAATTTTATTTGTCAGAAATAAATTTTTCTTTGGATCAAATAAATTTTTTATTTCAATGGAATAAAATATATTTGCAATAAATAAATGAGTTAGTAGACTCGGAGACAAATATATACCATATTTCTCGTGAGTATGTGGAGTTAAAATGAATTCGATTTTTTCCAATAATAATTATTATAAAATATTATTATTTATAAATATTATTATTATTATTATAAATATTTTATATTTTCTTTTCTTTTGTAAGCCCGTCTATTTTTGAAATAAATAAATAATTTATTTTTTTAAATTAATAAATTATACCCAAAGAAAAGATATATATTTGTTTCAGAGTCAAATAAGAATTTGTTTTCAAATCAATATTTTATTTCAATCAAATAAAATTTTTTGAAATTTAAAATTATTTGGGCTAAATAATTTTTTTTTATTTAAAACAAATTAAAAGTTATTAGGCTGTGAGACAATTTATTATATATAGATAATACATTTTTATTTAAGGCAAATAATTGCCAATAAAATATATCTCTGAGCGTAATAATTAAAAATAAACAATTACAAAAATAGTAAAATTAATTAAAATCGTTTATATAAACGTTGCGTACTTCAGCATTTGAACAACATTTGAACATTTGAAAATTTATCATATTTCAAAAATTATTCTCCTACATTGACCCCAAAACCAAAAAAAAAAAAAAAATACAAAAATTGAATATTTACTAATTAATATTATATGTACTAAAAATAAAATTCAAATAAAAATATAAAATTCTCTCTATTTATTGGAAAAGTTAAGCGATTACGATATATAAATTTTCTGTTTTTCTAAGAAAAAAAAAAAATATCGCGTAAAAAAAAAAGAAGGAATTATACCGTCATTTCGCCAGACCGGATATTTTTTAGTAATATGGTAATACATGAGTGAACGAACTGTTGTATTACTAATATAACAAGGTATTGTTAGAGAATCACAATGACCATGTTTGCCAACATACCTGGTCGATTGTTCAATTGTTTCTCTTTTATCATTTAACATTATTGTTGATGCTCTCACCCACGGAATTATACTAAAATAGATCATATGTTCGTTTTCTCTATATACTAATAAAAATATATATTATTTTTAATTTTTATTAATTCTATAAATTAAAAGTAATTTTCAACAAAATAATATTTTCGCACTGAAAAAAAAATTATTAAATTCAAATAATTGACTTTCTCACTGAAAATATAAATATCAAATATTTATTTGGTAAATAAATATTTTTTGAATAATAAACTACAACAACTTTTTCTATTCTAAATAAATGCCAAATATTTAATAATAATAATAATAATAATAAATAAATATTTAATATTCAAAGTATTTATTTCAAATAAATTTTTGATTCAAAAAATTACTGCAGTTGATAAAATAAAATATTAAATTAAATATTTTTCGAATAAAATGTTTATATATAATTTTCTGTAATGAAATATTTTTTTTGTCTTTTACAGGTTTTTCATTAGAAATTTTCATCTGTAAAATAAATATATATTTTTATTTAATTCAAATTAATTATAATTCTATTAAAAAATTTCTCTATTAAAAATTTTTAAATATTTTTTTTTTAAATTTGTCTTTTCGAGATTTTTCATAAAAATTGAAAAAATATTGAAAAAAAAAAATAAATCCCCCCAAAAATTGTGTCCCTTGTGTTTTATTTTCCTTAATTTTTGAAGTATTTCAACACCTCTTTTTTAAACAAGCAGTAAATAAGTGTAACTAATTACGTGTATATTAAAAAGAAAGTTGAACTTATATTTGCAAATTGACATTTTTAAGTATTTAGTCGTACTATATATACATATATATATGTGTGGGTAGGAACGCCATATATGGTAATAGGACACCTTTGTTATGATTGAGGAATGTCAAAGCAATCTTGTGGTTTGAACAAGGGCCTTCTCTTCCTTATACTTTATTTTTTTTTTTTTTTTTTTTTTTGCCCCTTGACTTGGTCCATAGATTTTCTTTGCTTTTATTGCCATTTTATGATCGTTCGTTTGTCGCGACCAAGCGAGACACACGAACGATTATTACCAGGCGGTCACGTCCCATACATGGCTCATATTCCTATAGGGTGACTCGTTTTCTTTCTTTTTTTTTTTTTACATAAATTAGCCAAAAATATAGAAAAAACAATAATTCTATTTTTATTTTTCATTGTAATTTTTGTTTTTGAAATTATTCTTCAAATTAAAATTGTATTTTATTAAATTCCCTTTTTTAAAAAAAGTATTATGTATACAAATACATTATATACGTGAAATTCATACGATACAGAATTTTTACTGTGAAAAGGATCATAAATTAAGGCTCGAAGCGACAATTAAACCATGCCCCGTTTCATATATGTATAGAATTTCTCTATTACTGATGAACGATGGCTTTATGCTTTCGATTTTAAAACGTAAATATTTTTGTTGAACAACCAGCCATTGAATAATATTACTATTTATGCGTATACAAAAATTTTTTTCTGATACAGTGTGCAATTTTAGAATTTTTAAATGTACATTTTTATCAATTTTAATAATGGAAGAAAGAAAATTCTCTTTTAATAATAATAATAGTTTTTATTGATACCTAATGCATTAAAATATTATTGTCCCCTGCAATTATGCAACCGTCAAAAAACAATTATAGGTTAAGTTTAATATTGTCACATTGTTTCTTTCGTTTCTTTATCACAAATCATAACTTTTTGTATTTTAACATTCTTACCTTTTTCGTCAATTTTCGTTTTTAATTTTATATCTTTTTCATGTCAATTCCCAAACGTTTTATCCTCAAATTAATCAAAATTTTCCAAAAATATCCTGGATTGTATACTCTGAGTGTATCATTTCTGTAAACATACATACAATTTTCTCTCCTCATTTTGTCAAATCAAAATAACTTATAAAATCAGCTTGAATACTATACATAGATAACTATTATTCTAATTAACTAATTATATAACTTGTATTTTAAAAAAACAAATTTTTAAAATAAAATTCACCCGTGATACTGTAACGACTCTGATCATGTGATCGCGCGCGCTTTTTTTGGTTAAGGTTTGGTTAGAATTTAGAAATGGAATGGCACAGAGTCGCCATCTATCAATGATAAGTCAGTGACGGCAAAATTGTTGGTAAACCGCGCCGAGTGAAAAATCGAAAAATTCTCGTAACCTGCTTCCTGCATCTGGAGGCCAGGAACACGACGAGATCATCTAGGAGTCTAGTGATCAAAGCTCACGCTTTATTAAACTCATAATTAAACAAATTCAATACAAAGTATATTATATACACATTCAACACAACTTTACGAAAAAAAAAAAAAAAAAAATAGGTTGATCAAATAGTGTGTATTTCTTTTGCGAAACTTGTGTAATATTTTCAAATTATAATGGAAGACGAAAGTGAACAAGACAATGTGATTGAAGATGATTACTATTCATTTTTGAATATCCCAAGAAATGTGAGAAATTTTTACTTTCTATTTATCGATTTTTTACCTCTTCATTTGAGAGAGAAAAAAAACCACCAAGTTTTCAATGAGTCCTCCACGTGACATCTATATTCTTGTCTTGTATCAATCGTGAATATCACGTAACCTCTCTTTTTAAATTATGATGATATTTAAACCGGTGCAATGACATTAATTAAAAATTGAATATTTAATTGCTTTATTTTTTTTTATATCAATATTTCCAAGGTTCTTTAATCTATTATCTTCCTCATTGATTTTTTTTCTAATTTTTTATTTAATTTTGTAAATTGATTTTAAATTGTACAAAAATGTCATTAAATGGAAATTGTTAATAAAAACAGGCTAGCGATGAGGACATCAGCAGTGCTTATCGTAGGCTCAGCAAATTGTACCATCCTGATAAACATCCAAATTCTAATAATAAGAAAGAGGCTGAGGTTTTATTTAATCGTACAAGAAAAGCTTACGAAGGTGATTATTTTTACAGAATTTAGATAATAATTTTCCTTTTCGTAAATTTAAAAATTTATTTATTTATATCAGTATTGAGTGATCCTCACAAACGGGCAATTTACGATTCACTGGGAATTAAGGGATTAGAAACTGAAGGATGGGAAATAATTCAACGGACAAAAACACCTCAGGAGATTCGCGAAGAATATGAACGTTTAGCAAGATTGGAGGAGGAATGTCGTCTACAGCAGCGAACAAGACCAAGGGGCAGCATCACTGTCAATATTAATGCCAGCGATGTTTTTAATTCTTACGATGAGAGTTACGGAAGGTCTGACAATTTTTCTAGATACTTTATTTTTTTTAATAAATGAAATTTTGTAAAAAACTATTAATTTTTCATTTTACAGTGGAAGTTTATTTTCGTCAGTTCAAGTGAGTGGAATGACATTTACTCAGTCCATTGAAGCTCCACTTACGACAAAAGATACTTTAATAATGTATGGTGAACTTGGTGTACATAATGGAAATGGTTCAGGAACAATAAATGTTTCTGCAAAACGATTAGTTTCAGAGAAGGGATGGGTGGAAATTGATGTAGGAGCTGGAAATGGTCTCAATGTTGCTTTAAAAGGATTTCGAACACTTAGCAAGAGAATATTTTGTAATGGAGAAATTTTAACTGGATTTACTTCGGATTTAGCAAAATTTGGTTTGGCCGGTTGTAAGTATTTTAATTTCAAAATGCCATAATTATTTTTAAATTTTTAATGATTTTTAAAATATTAAATTTTATTTCAGCGCTTGCTATGCAATTGGATAAATATACAATTGGATATCTCACATATAAAATGCATGCCCAAACTGGTATGTCAACAATAATTGAAAGAAACACACCTAATTCATACACAGCTTTTACGATTCATTTTGGACTATTAAATTCGTATATAAATTTAAGTTACACACATAAAATGCCCGAGCGACAACTTCAATTGAAAAGTACCGGAAGGTAAGTAATAATTTTTTTTTTTTTTAATTTTATAAATTTTTGCTAATTAAAAACAATTTCCCAGGGTCGGAACTTTTGGTGGTTTTATCGAATATGGAGCGGAGAAAAAGGTATCGAGTTATACTACCCTCGCGACTGCTGTAAGAGTTGGAGTACCAACGGGAGTATCACTTCGCGTTCGATTGAGTCGAGGATCACAAAATTATTCATTTCCAATACATTTGTGCGATGAAATTCTTCCAGCGCCTGTTTTTTACGCAACTGTTGCACCGCTAATCACATGGACGATTGTCAAGAAATTTGTCATTGATCCTATATTAAAGGAGCAAAAAGAACGTAACAAGGAAAAACAGAGAAAATTAAACAAATCAGTAATGTTGGAAAAGCAAAAAGAAGCGAAAGCCGCTGTTGAATTAATGAAAGCGACATTCTCAAGGATTCGAGCTGAGGAGGAATATAAACGTGGATTGGTAATAACAAAAGCATTGTACGGAAGGTTTGTTTATCCTCAGGATAGAAATTTAGAGGAAGAAGCAACAATTGGACAACGAGATGAAGTTATCGATGTAACTATACCGTTACAGTGTTTAGTTAGCGATTCAAGATTAGTTCTTCATCAAGTCACAAAGGTAAATAAAATCAATTGACAATAAAATAAAAATTATATACTCTTTTATTAAAAAAAAAAAATATATATATATTTCTCAGAGTCAACTGCCTGGATTTTACGATCCATGTGTGGGAGAAGAAAAACAATTGCTTGTACAATATCTATTTCACGCTCAAAGTCACGAATGTGTTATAAAAGACGAGGACTCTTTAAGGATACCAAAACAATGTAAATAATTATTATGACTAATAAATGTTTACCATTTATAATTGAAACACTAATACATCTATTTTTTCAGCACATCGAGTAAATACTACATGACGCAAGCAAACTCTACGCAAATTTAAAAAACGAGGCTTTTGTTTCAATTGATAAAATCGTCGGATCAAGTCTCGTACGTTGACGTTCCCTTCCCCTCCAAAAAAAAAACTATTCATTTTATGTGTTATTAAAAAATCGGTATATTACTGATTTTTCTTATTTTTTTTACTTTTCTTGACTATCCGTTTCTCCTTTGAACAATAATCAGTAAATTGTGACGATTTTTTTTTCAACTTATATGAAAATTGCTTGTCATGAAGAGATAATTTTACTAAAGTTGATAGATAAATGTAATGCAATAATGTCATTTTATTAGTTTCACTTTGCATAGAAGTGTGGCAATAATGTAAAATAAATGTTGGGAGATCGAAAGTCTTCCAACTAACCGTAAGTAGTAAATATTGCAAATTGCCTTAATTCAAAATTAGTTAGTAAAAGCCCCTTTTTTAAAAAAGAGACTTGAGCCTTTCAAAAAATAATAAAACACAATTTAAAATTTCACCTCAGTATATTGTCACAAGACGGGTAGAAATATATGAAAAAAAAAAAAAATTACGAGTAGGCGAAAATGTTAACAGTAGACTGAAAATATTAATCAGTGTTCAGATTTAAAAAATTCAATTCCGCCGATAAGAAATAATTACAAACATTTACTAATTTAAAGTAATAAATTTATTAAATCAATAAATGGATTACTTATTTAAATTAGTAAATTTTGTTTACTACAATACTGTAAGAAAATAGTAATGAATTTAAAAAAAAAAAAAAAAAAAAACGAAAACTCGATCGAGTCTAAAGAATCAACAATCTATGCTCATATAATTTTGCAATGAAGCAAGTCGAGAACTTTCATTACTTTGTAAAATTTGATTAATAACACTAATTTCATTATCTTTAGAATGTATTTGCGCTAATGGAGTCCAAGAATGATCTTGTTCTAGTCTGAAGGAGCCTTTATAGGATTGTTGAGGTCCAGAATTACCCCAATCCTGTAAGATAATATTATTTTTCGCCAAATAAATTATCTATAAACTATAACACGAATGTCTATAAAATTTTTTTTCCTTTCATAATTATTAAATTTAAAATATTTTTCCTCTATGTTTTCGTTAATATGCGTTTGATATTGAAATATATAGATATATAAATTGTCATCTACAATTGCGACATTGGTTTAATAATAGAATAATATATATATAAATACATACCTCTGGACTCAGTATAGATAAATAACATTGGCCAGATTCTCTCTGATATAAATGATATATGTTACCAGGTTGTTTAACAAAATTACAAGCGGCATAATGCAAGTTCATATTTTGTTTAGTCTCTGATAACACTTTTTCAGCTTGCTTATATAAAAATCTCATTTGCTCCGCTATCATTTGTAATTTATTGCAAGCATTCGCATTAACGAAATCATTAGACTGAAAAAAAATTAATGTCCCACAATAGAGGTAATTTTTAAAATATATTAATTATTCTTCTATTTAGATTTTCATACCTTTTGAATTTCTGTTGCTAATTCTATTAAATCATTTGGAGCTTTTTTATTCGTATATTTTGGATTAACTAAATTTATACCCAAAGGACAATCAGTTTTTTCCACCAAGGCAACTGTAAATAAATTATTAATTACAAAATAATAATTTCTTTAAAATTTTATAACAAAAATAAATACCTTTCCTGGGTACTTCTTCTGATATATCCATTGCTGTTATTGGAAATGAATATCCACGTTTCATATCCATTAAATTAAATAGACGTTTAAAAAATATTTATCAAGTTTTACTGACCTAAATAAACAATTAATAGAAAAAATAACAATTTTTTAAAAGACATGTAAAAAAATAACCTCTAAATTTAAATTCACATTTTGTAATGAATCATTATTTGATTGTTGTCTTTAGGAACAAATATAAAATATATGTTGAAACAAATAACTTACTATCATTTTCACTAAAGTAGATATACTGTATTTGTTTTTAGCGTAAATTATAAATAACAAAAAGTAAACACAACAATTTCTAAAATTTCAATCACATCGGTAGAGTAGAATTTTATTATATTGACTGATCTAACCTCAAATTTGTTAAAAAGTCATCAGTTCAATAATAAAAGTGTGTTATGACTGATGCTCAAAAGACTTTTTTCACTCTCTAGCCGTCAATTATAGTCTAAATAATTAGTAATAAAATATTTTTATTATTGTTAATATTATTAGAGACGTAGAAAAAAAAACAATAACCCTCGAGCTGTCAACAACTAACTCCAAAAGCTTTAAAAATTTAGTCAACGATTTTGTTTAAGTTTTCAAGTCATTATTTTTAAGGATTGTTTATTAAATAAATACATTAATTTATTGCGAAAGAAGGTATAATTCCACAGTATATAATTTATTCTATAATACTTCTAAATAATTATTATCATTTTATACTATATTCTAAATATTATGATTAATTTTTACAATTTCAGTTTTGTAAATGGTTAATAATAAGAAAAAGTAAAAAAAGTAATTTTAAATAATTATTGAGGAATGGATAATGCCACAATTGTTGAAAGTGCAGTAAATCGTTTCTTCTCAGCTGGAGAAAATGAAGCACATGTTTGGCTTTTGCAAGTACAAGATTCGCCAGAAGCATGGTCTTTTGTCTGGGAATTATTGGTACCAACGAAGGTAAATTTTCATATATATCACAATTTAAAAAATAATTTAATATAAAAATTTTCTTTTATTACAGTCGAAAGAAGTTCAATTCTTTGCGGCAAATACTTTACATTCAAAAATATCACAACAGTGGACCGAAGTGCCATGTGAAGAATATTTAGCCCTACAACATAGATTGCTCACTGTTATGAAACAATTAAATGCATCGAATTTAGTTTTATCGAAACTTTGTCAAGCGGTAATTATTTTTTCAGTATGTAAAGTATCTTAGCTTTTTTTTCTATATATTTTAATTATTTGCAGTTAGCAGCTTTTCTGATCAATTTGAATAAAACAAAACAAGAGGAACGAGAGAAGGGTTTAGTTGGGAGTTTAATAGAAATTTTACCGCCAGATTCTTTGGAGACAATAGAATTTCATCTTAGAGTACTAAGTTATTTACCTAAAGAGGTAAGTTTTCCATTTTTAATATTAATGCAATGTTAATTGGGTTTTTTTTTGTAGTTTGAAAGGAGAAATGAATTAAAAGGACCGAAGCGCGATATAATAGTCAGTAATTGGAGTAAAACAACTTGGATTTTACAACAAGTCTTCACAACACTTGATCAGTCTGCTTCTAGTAATAATAGTAAACTTTATTTTTTGGGCTTGGAATGTTTACTCTCATGGCTTAAACTCGGTCAATTGCCAGTTGAAACAACAGCTCAAATTTATCCCCATTTATTAACAGCTGCTGGACGTTATCTTCCAAACCGGTATTTTGATAATTTAAAACTTAAAAAATTTATTTATTATTGTTCTTAAGGTAAATTTTGATTTTGAAAAAAAAATTTCAGTGATGATTTAGAAGAGGATCATATAAAAGGTTGGGAAATAATTCAAGAATGTTTATCAATGATATTGACACACACGGAACTTCATAAAAGGCCACAATTATTTTGGGAATGGTCAAGAAGTATTGTACAAACGGCACGTGAACATGGAGCGAGTTATTATTATGAAATATTGTCAACATTGGGCGAGGCAAATAGTCGTACATTATTGTTGGCATTGGCTAATGATTCAAATGAAATGCAAAAATGGACTGCACAGCAGGTGGTTGAAATTTTATTGGAATGTTCTGAGCAACCGGGTCGTTATCCATGCGATGAGAAACGTAGTTGTATTCCATTTGGTTTTTGGTATACATTTCAAGATGATCTTGCCACATTGGATCAACCAGTCGATAGTCAAGCAACATTGGCACTTAGGCCTATTTATGCAAGATTGGCGCAAGCACTATTAAGAAAAGCCACATTACCATTGACGTCGCGTGAAGCTGGCGATTCGGATGATCGTGAACTTTTGAGATGTTATCGACAAGACGCTGCTGATACACTTAATTATTGTCATAATGTACTCAAGGAGGATTTACTTTTACTTCTTGGACAGAGATTGAGTCAGCCATTTGAGGAGGTGGAAAATTGGACACACGTGGAATCAAGTTTACATGCTTTTAACGCTTTAGCCGATAATGTTGGAACACAGGAGTCTCAATATGTGCCAGCTCTTATGAATATTATTTTCTCTTATATTCCCTATGAGAAATATCCCGGAGAGGTATGTTTTTACAATTAATTTAATAAATTGAAAATTAAAATTTTATTTTCGTAGGTTTTGGCTTGTGCTTGCACAACGATTGGAGCGTACGCTGAATGGTTTGGAGAACATCCGACACCGTGGTTAGAGAGATCGTTAAAATTAATTACATTGGGTTTATCGCAAAGCTCAGTGACAATATTATCAGCGAGTATGGCTCTTAAGGACATATCAAGAGAATGTAGTGTACAACTTGCTCCATTGGCGCCGTCAATTTTAGACACAATTGGCCATTCGCTTCCAACAATTGCTTCCGTGGGTGTTGAGGGTTTACGTCTCATGTACGCTGCTGGAAAATTATTAAATACTCTACCAACATTGGAGCAACAAATATTTTATCTAGACGCAACTTTAGGTCTCTGCGTAACGCGATTACGTGATTTATTACAAAATCCAGTGGCAACATCACGTGTCGCTGTTTCAAATCAATTGAAAATGGTTACCATATTCTTTTCAACATTGGAAAGATCAATTGGTAAAACTGTTCTCGATGGACTATTGCCAATATTCAAGCAAATTGTTGCACATCCAGAATGGAATAAAGATGACATGACATTGGAGGCAATGCATTCGTGTGCACAAAAATCATTGTCATCGTTACCATATCCTGAGGATGACGCTAAACCATTATTGGCAATATTGAGTATGTCATATAAAATAAAACCACATCCAATGGCATTGAATCTTTTGAGAAGTTTTGTATTATTATTTGGTAGAGATCCAAATAATACCGTTGGTCCAGTATTTGCCGAGCTTAGTAGTATTACATTGGCGGGCGTTGTAACATGTCAATCGGTTGGTGGCAATTTATCCGATCTCTCTGATTTACTCGAAGCTTATTTAGGATTATTGGCACAAATTTGTAAAAAGAATGCCACGCTATTGCTTCAAATTCCTGATCAAGTTCCACAAATGCTAAAATGCGGTATGTAAACAAAATTCCAAAAAAATAAAAATAGTATTTTAAATTGAATATCTGCTTCTTTTTCTTACAGGAATAACTTGTCTACTTCTACCGGAAACAGGAACGACAAAAGCCGCTGGTAGTTTTCTCACTCATGCCATAATGCAAAGTCCACATTTACAAACCTTTATACAACCTGTAGGTCAGGAACTTGTTTGCGTTCTGTTACAGTGTATTGGTAATTATATATTAATAAAAATTTTTAATTACACTAAAAGAAAACGATATTGTTTTATAAAAATAATAAATTAATTTTCAGCTGGAAGTGTACCAAGAAACAATTTAGAAACCCATGCTGAAGTTTTATTGTCCCTAAATAAAATGTGCACTGAATGGACGTCACAGTGGCTTCGAAATGCTCTTGTTGAACAAGCAATTCCTCAAATTCCCCAGGCATTAAAGGAGAATTTAATACGTAACATTTTAAAAGAAAGGACCAGTAAAAGACGACTTTGCGAAACGTTGAAAGACTTTAGTTTACAGTGTCTTCAGCATAATGCCAGTAATAATCTTAGAAGCGCCATACAAATCTAAAAAAAAAAACCTCTTACTATAAATGACGAACAAAATCTAATTTTGCTATTTGTTTCATTTGAAAATTTATTTTGCCATATCAATCAATTTTAACAAAATATTTAGAAAAAAAAAGAAACTAAGATATTTTAATCTTTTCACAACGAAAATATTGAAAACAGTGATTTATGAAAATGTACCAAACTTTTATTTATTACATATATAAAGATATTTTAAGCGTTATTTTATATTTTCTGGAGTATTAAAAAAAAGTATAATAAAAAGAGATTAACTAAATTGTTTGTTAATTTTATTTCGATATGTCATGGAATAATATTAAACAATTCACTTTTAAAGAATTCTTTATTTATTTTAAACAAAAAAAGTTTTGTGTTTTCAATTAACAAAAATAAACTGGATTTAATTTCACAATAATGATTTTATCATTTTTAAGCAATAATCAATTTATTACTTAAATATTTATACTTTTAAACCGGCAAAAAAGTATAATTTAAGTCATTTGTACAATCGAAAATTTTTCTTTTAAATGCACTGTACATTCAAAAAGTAAAAAAATGACTAATTTTTATCACAGTCAAAAAGAAAAAAAAAAGGAAAAAAAAACCTTGTGTCCTTATTCAAAATGCCAATTAGAAATATAAGAACAAATTTGAATAAAAAATGAAAATAAATTCTCATTTTTTTTTGTCAATAATAGACATAATCAAATTACGGTATTTATTATTATAAAATTAATATTGATCTTTAAAAATGAAAATAAAAAAATATAATAATATATTCTTTAAAATCAAAATAAATTAAAAAATAATTTGGAATTTCGTCGTAAAATGATTGATTTGTACATAAATTGAAAAAAAAAGGAAATAAGTACAGTGCATTAAGTAAAATTTACGTTAAATCAGTTCTTGTTTTCTTTAAAGATATGAAAATTGATTTCAGTAATAAAATATACGTCCTTTACGCTTAATATCATTACTTTCTAAAGTAGATTCAAGTTTACAGATTCCGATGCAAACAAGAATATAATCATTGTTTGTTTCCTCCATTAGATAGAGCTGCCGAACTGAAATTTGCAGCAATTCGAGATTTTTTCTGATTTCCTGATTTTTGTGTTTTCTGCGAATTATTTGTAACATTCTTTTTGTCCTCCACTTTCACGTGAGTTGTTTTTTCCTCCTTTGGTTTCTATAAATTGAAAAAAAAGATAACTCAAAATTCTGTTTTTAATTCAATTAATATTTAAAAAAATTTCTTACCTTCTGAGTATTTTCCTTTAAATTCTGATTACTCTTTTTCTCAGAGGATTCTTTTGTAGATTCTTTTTGGAATTTTTCATTCACAGGTTTATTAATATTTCTATTTTGTTTTTGTGCTTGCAAAGGAACGAAGGGTGTATTTTTCTTATAATCACCAACTTTAGGCCATTTTGGAGGATTAAGTCTTGGTCTTGGTGGTCCACAAGGAATGGCGGAATAATTATATGGCATAGGTGGTGGATTTCTCATAGGCTGATGATTCATTTGATGAATTTGTGGTGGTAACGGTGGCAGTGGTGGTCGAATATTATTGTTGTTTGGAAATCGTGAATTGTACCATTGTTGTGGTGGTGGTGGAGCCATAATTCTTGTATTTTGCACCTTATCCAATTGTAATTCCTATTGAGAAAATTATTATTTATTTTCAAAATACTTTTGTTTCTTTTTTTTTGGGATTAAAAATAAAAAATTACCTCATAAACTTTCTTGGCAGCATTTTCAGTCGCTTCAGGATAAGTAGAACAAAAGTCACCAATAAATACCCTCCTATCAGGTAAATAAATTTGCGCACAGACTAGATTATTTTGTTTACTAGTTATGAAAGTATAATGTGGGAGTCCTTTAAAATTATGTTGAAAATATGAAAGTAATTGCGAACTGTACCACTTTCCTTCGCGTTTTTTCTCATTTTCTCGTGCACGCTGAAAAAGAAAATTTTTCATTAGGCTAAAAAAATCAAGATATTAAAAAAAAGAGAAAACACAATTTAAAAAAAAAAGAGAAAACAATTGTTTTTACAGATAAAATAATTGATTCATTTTGTTTTAATTAAAAAGAATCAAAAGAACTTTTGAATAGAAAAAAAAGGAAAAGGTCGATGGGATCGCAAAGAGCGTGTGACATACATCAAATAACCGTTGTACCAACGGCGGAGCGTCTGATGTGTTGGGTGCATTTGGTGGTTGCGGAAACGTAAAAGGTTTGTTTGCTGTACTCGGCTCGGCAGCTAATGAAGGCGTTGTGCTGCTTTTTGTATTTTCATCGGAAATTTTCAGCATTGCCTTCAAAAATGCACTAGGATCTTGAGGCTACGGTTTTAGTAAATTTGTTAATTTTTATGATACAACATATATAATGTTAACATATATTACTTTAATTATTTAAAAAATTGTTAGTCAGGAAAATTTTTTTTTAAACATCACTATAACAATAGCACAAAAATTTGACAAAAAAAAAAAATAAATAAAACAGACAGCATGCAATACACTTTAATTAAAACAATTTTATAAAAATAAATAATAAAATTATACATTTTCTATTTTGTATTAAAGAAAAGATTTTAAATTTCAATTTATACAAAATTGTTTAATTACCCAATTTTGCATTTCCGTTTGCTGCATATTGTGTGAGTAAATATAACAAAGTGGTTAGAATAATTTTAAAACAACACAATGACCAAAATTGAATTACTTACCGAATTTTTGTTTCCATCAATAGGTGGCTTAGGTAAACTACTCAATGGAACAGGTGGTTGTTGTGGTAAATTGTTTTTCTGCATAAATAAAATCAAGTAAATTGAAATTCAAATATTTATAAATAATATATAATTTAATTTACCTGTAACATTCCATTCCAAAGTGCCTGGAACTCTGATGGATCTTTAGTATTGTTTTGTTGTTGCATTGGTTTGTTATGCATCGGTTGTGTAGGTTTTTTCATTAGCCTTGGATCTTGAGTATTAAATGGTAATTGTTGTGCTTTAAATTCACCAGCAGGGTTAGATTTAGCGTTCATTTGGGGCATGGTACGTGAAAATGGAAATTTCGTTTCACCATGCTTTGCAAAACCAGAAGGTGGAAATTGATTGTAATTGAAAGTAACAAAAGCACTGGAATTATTTTCACGCGTTGGTGGTGTTAATGAAATATTCGAGCGCCATGATTCAACTGGTGGAGCGTCTGATTTTCCCGATTTACCAAGTTCAACTCTTCTTCCATATGAGAGATTTATAAAATCTCTCGCTGATAATCTATAACCACGATTCTTTGAACATCCATGAATAACAATTCCTCCTAAAATATTATTGATTAAAAAAATATTCTGTTTTTTAAAAATTAATTTAAAATAAAAATGAACTTACCAACAAAAGGTTTGTCAAATATCGTTTCATATGTGTTATCCATTAAATTTTCTCCTTTCTGAATTCCGACAATTGTGCCCTTAAAACCAAGTGGTACAGTAAAACTCTCACGAACGGTAATTATTCTATCAAATACTTTATGATAGGCTTTGCCATCGGGTGCAAAATGTCCAGGATTTAAACTTGGTTTAAATAACAAATGTGGTTTCACTTGCATAAATACTGTCTTGTATGTTTTCTCAATTGTTTCGAGACACGAATCAACTTTGTTTTCGATGCTTAAAACAATTTCAGAATCTAAACTCTCAGTGCCGCATGTTCGACTTTCAATATTTAAAGTCTCCTGTTGTTCTTTCACCCAAGCAACAGCTTTGTCAAGCATATCAGTCCTAAAATTATAACAAATAACAAAAATTCCAAATTTCTAATTTTTCTTTAATTAAAAAAATACATACTCTTTTCCAAAAAGTTCATTGGCAAAATACATTTCACTTCCTGCGTTTCTTCCAAGATTTTCAAATAAAACGGGAAAATTTTGAATGTAATTTCGTAGAAGTTCAAGAGCTTTTGTACTATATAGCCATTGTCCATTTTCTTTTCTCGTGAAACCTGGAACCTTGAATAAAAATTTATTAATAATAAGAAAAATATATTCAAAAATAATAAATACATACTTCTTCATTTCTTTTGTTGAATTTCAAATTTAATCCAACATTTTGTCGTGCACCACCTAAATTCTGTTCAATTGAGCCTGGCATAACGAAAATAGTGCCTGTTATTTTACTCAAAAGATGACTGCCTATGCCCAAATGTTGAGCGGCTTTACTACCATGCATAAATAATAATCTTGTTTCTCTTTGCTTCTGTTTAACGTCATCCAAATTTGGTTCGGGAAATATTCTCATTGCTACTTTAACTCGTCTTGTTTTTAAGTCCACACCGGGATCATTTACCTGAATTAAAATAATTAATCTTAGGTTTCTTCAAAGCGCGTTTCATTCATAAATAATAATTATTCTAAATGTACAACAATTATAAAAAAAAAATAGAAAAAGAATTTATTTACCTCGCCCATTGCTCCATAATGTGGATGTCCTAACATGAAACAAACGCTCTTCGGTTTGAAAACATCACTGACACTAGTATATTGAACAAAACTTTTATTATGAACATTTATGTCCTTTAATGTAACTTGATAAGCGTACGGTGATTCAAAATCGCTCCATTCTTTTTCTAATGTCAATTTTCCCTGAGATCCAAAAATATATTTTCGTCCAACAATAAGACGAACATGTACTAGGATATCAATATTTCCAACATCAATTCCCAAACGAACTTTGTGACTGAAAAGAATAAAATTTAAAAATAAATAAAATAGAAAATAAAAAGTAAAACAACAATTAATGAAATAGAATTACTGTTCAATAATAGCTTTCTGTTGAAGTGCTCTTTGTTGAACTAATGGACCCTCAACCGCTTCTTTTATTGGATTATTTTGATTAGCCTGAGTGTCACACTGAAATTTCCATTTATCATCCGAAACAGCAACAACCAAGGCTTCTATCAAATGTGGCCAACCAACAAAAATCGATTTACCCAATATTTCATTTGCAACATCAGCTAGATCCGGTTTTTGTTTTGGTGTTATTTTCAACATCATATTTTCACCACGTGACGGTTGTTCGAAAACTTTAACCTTTAAAATACGTTTTTTTTTAAATATGTACAAAAATGTTAACCAACATTTAAAAAAGAAAATTACCTTTGCTTTTTGAAGAGAAGCAGTGTGCTCAATATGTTGTAAAGTAGGAAAACCGGGGAAATAAACACTCAATTTAACTCCTGGATACAATCCTTTCACTAATTTTTCCCGTGGAACTAATATTTCTTCACGATTAACGAGTTTACAATTGGCGTGACTTTTTATTGTTGGAAAATATTCAGGTACAGAATACTCTCCCATGTCTTCTTCACTGTAAGTGAAAATGCACATTGGACCATGGCTATTTCTTCCATTTTCCTCTTTTGTCAATTGCGAATCATATGGTGTCATGGCTAAAACGAATAAAATACAATTATTGCAATTTGAAAATTTCAATGTAACATATTAAATTCAATTTCAATATTAAATATCACTAACCATTAATTAATTGCTTTTCGTCAATAAATGGAATTAAAACAACAGCCTCCCATTCTTGTTTCTTGCCATTTAAATCGGTTTTAAAATCCAAAGGATAATAATCAATAATTGGAGATTCCGTTTGGGTTAATAAATTTTGATAAGCTTTTGGTAGTAATTCTTTACTGGCTGCTGGCAATACAGCCAATAATTGTTGAAACGGAAAGAAAGGATCTCCCATATCAAATTCCAATTTAAGATCCTTAAAGTCTTTTATATCTGAAATATATGGCGCATAGTGATGTGGATAATACCACGACCAACTACAACAACCATTATAATAATAATGCAAATTCCATTGAATTGCACGAACGTAACCTTCTGCCTGTGATCGTAAAACTTGTCTGAAAAAAAAATAAAAAATTGCACAATAAAAAACAAATGTGTAATAGAAAACAGAAAATGTGAAAATTAATATATTTACTCGTCAACGTTATGATAGTCCATTTTCTTCATATAATAATCTCTTTTATGTTGAGCGAACTCTAATTTATAAATTTCACTGTCTGAGTCTTCATCCATAATCTCTTCATCTTCTGAATTATCTAATAATAACTATGGGAAGAAAAAAATGTTCGAGTCATTTATATACAAACGAAAAGTGTTCTTTTAAGTGATAGAAACTTACTGAATCTTCAGTTGCCTTGATTAAATCTGCTAAATCTTTGCTTATTGGTTTCGAAGAAGTTGCTCCAAAATCTTCGAAATCCTCCTCGTTTCTTAAACTGAGTCTTTCAGTTTCATTAGGTCTTCTACCTGTTTTAGCTTCAAAATACTTTAAATCAGCGTACACCTCTTCAAATTGTTCAAAATCAAACTGACCCAGTCTTTCCATAAATTTTTCAAATCGTTCAAGATTCAACGTTCCTGCCTCGTTAATATAGCCTGCGAAAAAATATCCAAATTTAATACTTACAGCAAAATAAAATATGTTCAAAATACTAATAAACCAAAAAAAGGCGAAACAAACCTTCCAAAGTGGGAAGTACTTCCATATAAGCGTTATATAAAATTGGCAGTGCGCCATGAGCTATATGCAAATTTGGAAGATTCGGAATAAAATCGTTCCCGACTAAAAATCCCATCAATACCCAATCGTCAATAATTTTTTCAATATCAAACTCAAATGATAATTTATCTTTAACTGGAGAAAATTCATGTTCAAGATATTCTCTCATTAATGATAAATGTAAAAGACAAAAATTTGTTTCTTCAGCAGTTAAAATTTTTTTCTGTTTCTTTCCAAAAACCACCTCTTCACGCAATAAAGAAAAATGTGGCTCATGTGTACATAAACCTAACATAATAAGATCGGCATCAAGACCATATAAACAATGCCGTGTATTTGAATCATAATCTGGTTCAGATTTCATGTATCTAATATAGTCCATGATTTTGTGTTCTCCTTCACCAGGAACCTAAATTAATAACATAAATTTAAAAACCCTATTTTTAATTATAAGAAAATAAAAATAAAATTCAAAATACCTCTGAACCACTTAAAATGATTTTACACTTTTGCCAAAGTTTATCTGTGGAAATTTTATAAGTAATAAAATATTTCAAATGTTTTGTGAGTTTTGCCATAAATAATGTACCAGGTGTGATACAATTTGAATCAAATCTTGCTTCCTTTGGCAAATCAATGCCCTTTGCTTGGGCTTTCTTTTCTAAAAGTTCTGCTTCTTTCGCCGATCTGAATCTTCGACCTCTTTGTTGATTTATTTTCGCTCTTGGAGCAACACCATCAACAGCCATAAAAAATACTTTTTGTGGCTGAATCATTCTAAATAATATTTCAATATAATGAAATATATTTTTGAAAATATTTTCTTCAGAAATACGAAACTGTACATCTGCATCGTTTGGATGCGAACAACTATGTATAATACCATTCATGTCTAAGTATAAATTATCAAATTCTGGTATCTATAAAAAAAAAGAGAATTTATCAATATAATTTTCCAAAAACAATTTTTTATTTCTTACATTAAAAAAATATCTAAAAAAGACTTTTTAACGTAAAAATAAAATTGCGATTGATGTTGTAATTTTAAGTAATTGCCAAACCATGTGTAAATATTTAGCGACCTTAAAATGATCTTGCATTGTTGTATAGGTACAAGAAAAAAAAATGTATTTTTAACATTTAATCAGCGAATTACAAATTCATGATAAATTTCTCACAACAAATTTATATCAATTAATGTATTGATGATTTTTTATTCTAATTTTTATAATGAATTTAAGATATAATAGTGATTAAATTAGTTGAAAAAAAAAAAAAACATCGACTTATGGTGGAAACAGTAGAGGAAAAAACAAGGTTATGTTATACCCAATTAAAAATGTTAAACAATAATTGAAACTAATAAAGTTTAATAATATTTAATAAAAAACATAAATACCTGGTAATCCTTTAATTTTTCACTTAAACAAGGATACCTTTCACTTATGTATCTAAAAAACTTAGGGACTCCCATGTTGTCTGATGATCACTGGACCTTTAATATTTCTAGAAATGAGACTGTAATACTCTTTAAAATAACAAATAATCTATTTATCGAAAGTACACAGTTAAAGTGCAATTTTACTTCTTTATTAAAAATTTATCATGCAGATAAGAATATTAAGCAAAATCAACTAATAATAAAAAGCACAAAAAGCAGTTGTAGATAAGCAGACATTTTGTGACGCGCAACATTACAATTTGCGTGCGCAACAGGCGCGAAATTTACATTTTCAAATAATTTATTTTTAAAAAAAATAGAAACATTATTATTGGAAAAAATTAATAATTTTAAAATGAAACAAGACTTTTTCCGTGTTAATTATTTAAAAAATTGACAATATTGTGTTTACAATGTTGAAGGTTAATTTTAAATACATTTTTTGACAGGAAGCAGACACTTAGTTGACATGCGCAAACCGTCACAACAGCTGATGCCGTCATACGTCACTTGATATTGTGATTTTGTATTGTTTTGCAGGTGTATAAGATTATGGATTAATTGAAAGAAAATGAAAATCTAAATGTAAATTGTGATATCAAAGGTGCATATATCTTTCTTTGATAATGTGTCCAATTGACACAATACAATATTCAACAATTTTCAAGGTAAATTCCAAAAATCAATGTGTATTTGTTTTTTGAATTTATTTTTCCCTGTCAAAATTTAACAATTAAAATATAATTAACATAATAATTAAAGACTAAAATCTTAATTTATATTAACAGCCAAAGTTTCATAATGACGAATCCTGCATTAAATGTTTTATTAACCGGAGATCCAGAAGTAACCACAGACAATGATAAAGTTATCAATTTGATTGAGGAAAATCTTTTCAAATTACATTGTTTAATTAAAGCAAATGAAATTAATCTTTGCACAAGACATGAATATCAGGGAAAAGAATTACTTGCATTCACAACTGGAAAAGTGAATTTATGTCTCTATTATCTTTTTGATGTTTCTCTACCGCCAATAATAAAATATATACCATGGTTTCTTTCGCCAAGTAAAACAATATCGTCAATTTGTTTTGATCCATCGGGATATTGGCTTTTGGTAGCTAGTCAGGATGGCTCACTACATATAGTGGCTGCTGCCAGTTTAGTTGACTCAAAAAGAAAAACTAATCAACAAAAATGGAAAGATGCAGATGACATTATATCCCTGACATCGTTAAATTCACAATCGTGTTGTTCTAGGTTCGTACTAGATATATTTTTATAAAATTTTAAAACAAAAATTGCTAAAAAATTTCAAACTTTGAAAATTGATACATTTTTTTTTTTGTTAAACAGACCAAGTTCATTGATATGGTGGCAATGTATGTCAACATCTTGTCAAACTGGTATCATTGGAACAGAACAAGGAGAAATATTGTTCATTGATTTAGATACAGGACAACAAATCGGTTTAACACGAATTGATGGTTATATTTCGAATTTTCAAATTTGCCAGGACACTGAATTGGATACGATTAATCTCATTATAACTAGTCAATCAAAAAAACAATGGTTTCTTATTTTGGAGCAACCTGCCAAGGGTTATATTTACACACAGAGCAATGGTTCAAGTTCTACTTCAGCAGAGGACAATGAAAATTCTTTTACTTCGACTATAAAAAGTAAATTTTAATTAATATTTATTGTATTTATTGTAAATAATTTTTGAAATATTCCACAGAATGGCAAAGTAAATCTCGACTCAAGGGATTGAAGCAGCTTTCTTTTGATAATTTTAGTATTCTTAGAAAAAAAACAACAAAAAGTAAATATGGCAGTTCTCCTTTAGCGTCAGGTATAAAAATTTCATAATAATAATATTAAAAAAAATACTCTAAATAGTTAAATACTGAAAAATAAAACAATTTTAATTGTAAAATTTTCAGCGACAATCAGTGGTAATTATTCTCAATGTAATGGTTCAGAAAATTCGATGAATCCTTTACCAGCGATTAGTCCTGCATTTTTGACTTTACATTATGTTGATCATGGACGTCGTTTATACAGTCGATATTTTTCACCTAAAAATCTTTTAACAGTAAGAATATAATTATTTATATTTATTAATATAAATATATAATATTTATATATTTATAAAAAACAATATTATTTTAATGTTTCTTTTTTTTAGATTCATGAAAATAGTACATCTTTACTTCCATTGTGTGCATATAAATTACCTGATTACAGTAAAGACATAATATTAACACAACATTTATTTTACGTTATTGATCGACTTTCATCTAGATTATTAATAATATCACGCTCTCTGTCTCAAGACAAATTAAATGGAAATTCTCAATTTAATCGAGAATCCATAATTGCTCAATTTTCATTTGGAAAACGAAATGAAGTTATAAATGGACTGTTTGTTGCTAATAGTTGTGATAAAAATATCCAAGAAAATTCTTTTCACAATAACGAAGAAATATACACAATTACAAAAGTTATTAAAGATCTTAAAATTAAACTTGTTCCTGTAAATTCATGTATTATTGTTACAAATTGTGGAATTTATCGTGTCACTCTAAGGTTTGTAAATATTTCAATTTTAATTGAATTGAAAGTATATATTTATAATTTAAATAAATAATTTTTTATAATATTATTTTCAGGTGTAGTTTGTTATCAATTTTTATGGATTTAATTATCAGTCGAGCGGAGTTGGATAAAGCGAGAAGATTGGCTAAAATATTTGGCTTACACGTTCGACAATTACTGGAATATGCTGGTGATATTCTTTTGGCGAATGATAAATTTTATCAAGCCACTACTATGTTTAAAGAAGCAAAGGTGAGTTTTTAATTTTTACTAAAAGAAATTTTGTTATTTTATTTTTATTGCTTTAAAAATGTTTTTTCAAAATAACCTTTTGTTTTCCATTAAATTAATTAAATTATAAATATGATTTTCTTTTGTATCAATAGTGTCGACCTTCGAAGATATTTGCAAAACTCGCATCAGTGGGATGCACGTCAGAACTTTTAAATTGTCTCGTTCATTGTCTGGAAAATCTTTCGCAATACAAACTGTCGATTGCAGAAAGAATGTCCTTGTCAAATTTAAGTATAATAGCATTCACAGAATTATCCGTGAGGGCTACATCTCCAAGGGAGCAGAATATTCACAAAAAATTCACGTACGTTGCTTATATTTAAATTTTTTTTTTAAATAAAAATTATCGTTTAAAATTATTAAATTCAATTGATTAACAAAATTTTAACGCAATATATTAATTAATGTTAATTAAATTAACGAAAATAAATTAATGAAATTAAATTAGTTATTAAAATTATGGATAAATATATATTTTTAAAAAATTATACAATATAAAGTATTTTAATTAATCCTTTTTTTTAGTGAGTTTTTATCGACAAATGTGTTTTACGATGAACTTGTGGCAGTCAGTATAATTGGTCAAGCGCACCTATGGAATATTTTACATCATTTAGTAATTAAAAGAGGCCTTTTTGCTCAAGTATTAGATATACTTATGAAGACTTTACCTTTGTTTTTTAACTTTAAAAATTCACATCTTAACACTAATAGTAAGTGCTTTTTTAAAATTAAATGTTCTTAATTAAAATTAATGTAGAAATCATTACAGTTTTTTGTGTATTAATTTGAAATTTTATTGCAGATGATTTACTAGTTACCATAAGTGAACCAATTTTAATTCGTGGAATGATAGGAAATCTCAGTATTGCTAAAAGTCACATGTCATTCGTTCTTGCAAATCTTTCTTCTCTACAAGTGTTTGTCCTGCAGGTAAGCCTTTTAAAATAATCAACTTAATTTTAATTATTTATTAAATATTTTTGTTTCAGAGGTTAATTTTGTTATACGATCCAACAAATCCTGTTCTGAGGCCTTTAATGGCTCAATGTAAATCGAGAAAAAGAAGTGATTCCCGAAATTCACTCACTAATTCATTAGAAGCATTAGACGTTCAGGTAAAACATTACAGCTTGTATTTTATTAATTTAATTTATTTGGAACGCCCTCTAAAGAACGATTATTTTTTATGGAAAAATTATGTTAATTAAATAAAATTAATTTCGATTTCCAGGAAGAAATGTTTAATTTATCGGAGAAAATAGTGGAAATGTTTTTAATGATTTTACTTGCACTTATTCAAAAAACAACACCTGTTTTTAATCATAATTCAGATTTGATGAAAATGATCTCCCTATCGAGAGTAAAACAGGTAAAATTTTCCATTAAATTCTTTTCCTTTTTTTTATTATTAAATTCTTTTCTTGATTTTTATTTACAATTTTAATTTACAAATTACAATTTCAACAAAAATATAAATTTACAGAATTACAAAGAAGCGTCGAATTTACAATATAAACGAAGATTTATAAGTGCTGGTTTTTCGCATGTCGCTCTCCTCAGGAATAAAATCATCTACAATTGGGGTAGTACAATCACTGGATGTTTCGGTAAATAATCCTATTTTTCTTTAATTTTATAATTTATTATATTTTTATTTTTATTAACATCTCTAATGTTTGATTTTATTTTTAGGTATAGGTCCAGTGACGGGATCAGTGTACGAAACACCCCAAGAAATAATAATATTCCGCCGAATGGGAATTGAAGTGATTAGCGTGTCAAGTGGACATTGTCACATATTGGCATTGACAAATAATGGAATTTATGCATGGGGTGGAAATCAATATGGACAAGTTGGTTTAGAATATCTCTCACAATGTCCCAGTCCACAATTAATTTCATCCCTATCAAACGAGACAATTGTTGACGCTGTGGCAGGTCAATATCATTCGGTTGCCTTGACATCCGATGGACGTGTTTTCACCTGGGGCTGGGGAGTTCATGGTCAATTGGGTCATGGTACAATTGAAAATTTCTTCATTCCAACTGTGATTCAATCATTAATTGGTATTTCAATAAAATATATAACGGCTGGACACGCACATACAATGATATTGTCGTCAGAAAATATTGTTTATGTTTTTGGTTGTAACAATGTTGGACAATTGGGAACTGCAAATACAAAAAAATATTTAATTCCCACTGTTGTTCAATTATTATCGGAAAAAATATCATTGATTGCAACTAAATATTTTCATAATGTAAGTGACAATTTATATTAAAATTTTATATTAACTCTATTTGAATTATTATTAATTGTTTAAAAATAAATATTTTTCAGCTCGCTGTCACAAGTACAAATAAATTGTACATATGGGGTATAAGTCCGCGAGAATTGCAAATGCAAAAGTTACGTGTATGCGATTTTGAGTCAATGGATAAGAAACAAAATTGTTTGTCACCATCTTCATCAGTTAATGATGATCAAAAAAATTCAGATGAACAAAATTTGGCACAAAATTGCACAAGTCAACGAATTTCTGATATATCACTTTGTAATGGAGATTCACACAAAAATAAGGATTGTAAAACATTTATAGAAAATCATTTTTCTACTTCAAATCAAAATGAGACGAAAAATAGTGAAAAAATATCAAAAGAAGAAGAACAGAGCAAAAGTTTTAAAAATTCTAAATTGTCTCGATCTTATTGGATGCCAACATTGGTTGATACGAGTTTGGTTAAAGGAAAAATTGTCCAGGTATTTATATTAATAATTTAATTTTTCAATCTTTTTTTTTTTACCAAATTTATATTTTTTTACAGGTATCAACCGGTTGGAATCATTCGGCATTGATAACAAAAGATGGAACAGTTTACATTTGGGGTAAAAATTCAAATGGACAATTGGGTAACAATAATCGATGTGATGTTTTTAGACCCACTCCATTAATTTACAATCCAGTTTTATCGTTTTCTCAAGTTCCCTCAAAAAGCGCTGGACGCCATTCAAATGACGATGAGAATGGTTTAGTTAAAAATGGCACAACCACAAATCGTCGGGGGAACAGTGTAAAGGAAAATTGTGACAATGATGACAAGGACATTGACAATAAACGAAGTGAAATTAATGATGAAAATGATGAGGATTTTGTTGATAATGTTGTTAATAATAATAATGATCATGATGACGAGGATGATGATAATGAAAGTGCTTCCGATAATGATGACGATGAAATTAGAGATAGTTCAAATTACCACAACGATTTTAATGAAAAAGATATTGATGATTTTGAAAATTGTATAAATTCAAATAATTCAGTTATGAAAGCCGTTGAAATTTCGTGTGGAAATAATTATACTGTTGCAGTACAACAAGGTTTGTTCATATTTTTCTTAATTTACATTTCTCTTTTTTAAATTTAATTTAAAAAAAATTTTTTTTTAGGAGGAGCTATTTTAGTTTGGGGTAGAATAGGAATTTCTCCCTCGAAACCACCAAATCTGGTCCAAAGAAAACGATCAGATAAACAAAACTGTGATAATGTTGAAGAGACTTCAGTAACACTTAAATATTTATTTAATACGTTTGGATCGCAAAAAAATGAAGGTGTCGTATATATAAGTAATCCTAGTCAAGTACCTAACATTCCAGCACCAATTATTTCTTATCAAAGTTATGATATTGTTCCACTCGTTGGATTTATGCCGACACTTGATTTAGTTGAAGAAATTCCCGGTGAACGAATTCTTCATTTTACATTGGAGCAATTTATTGGATTTTACGATGTACATAAAATTATGAAAAAGGTACATTATTGTTATTTTTTAAATTAGTTTTTAATTATTTAATAACGATTTTTGAATATAAATAAAATTTATTTACAGTGCATTGCTTTGGGTAATCATCAAGCTTGCGCAAAATTGTCATTGTTAGAACACAATTTCTCTGAGTCATTGATGTATCAATTGAAATCGGTGATGAATTTAGAATTGGAGAATGAAATCAAAGGAGCGAATAATATTGGAGAATTGTCAAGTGATGAAAAACAATTTGATTTAAAGGAAACGAAAACAATAATTGAAGATGTTAAAGAAGTGGGAAAAGTGGAAATTAAAGATGAAAAAACAAAATTCGATTTTGATGATCAAAATGAAGAAAATCAATTTATGGCGAAATCATCGACACTCGATAATTTAAATTACAAATCTTTATCGTTATTCAATGAACAAGTTCAAAATGATCTTGTCAATAGTTTCGAGGAAAGTGTCAATAAATCACGAATTAAAATGCCAACAAGTAAATCGATGGATACACTTTCTTCGATGGAAAATGAATTGTTTACTTTTAATTGTCAAGGTGGATCGGAGGAAATGTACGGTCGAGCTGAGGAAGAAAATATATCAGAACACATGACAATGACAAATAGCGTCACTATTGATGATGAATTAGCGAGTGATAATTCTTCCATGAGAATGAAAATCGATGATTTCATTTCTGATTATAGTGAAACGAGTGGCATAAAAAAAGCAATGAATATCGTTGAATTTTACATTAAAGAAACTGAAAATTTCAATCACGCAATTGTTCGTGATGTTTTATTGAAAGCTATTAATATCTGGCTTGATCTACGTCTTCCTCTTCAATATCTTGAACAAGTCTTCCTCCATAATTTAGAAAAAGTATTTTATCCATTGGGATTGATTCTTTTTTGGTAAATTAATTTTGTTTTCTTCTCTTTTTCTTCGAATTTTTTTACAAAAATTTTTAATTGATTTTTTTTTCTCAGCAAAAATAATGTAACTGAAGGTGCAAATAACGATGAGAAAAGTGTGACAAATGCAATTAATTCATTGTCAACAAAATTAACATTAAATATTTGTTCTACACTCTTGCAATATATTAATGAAGGTAAATTATCTATTTTTTTTCAAGTGAAAATTCAACTTTTGATTGTTAAATTCATTTTCAGGAAAATCAACTCCAGAGTATGTAGAACTTCTTTCTCAATTAATTGCTAAATATTTTGGACCACCATTAACGGGTTATCCTGGATCAAGTGGGAATCACACAATGGAACAAATGTTAGAAGGAATGAAATCTACGTTATCTTCGAAACAAAGCGATCCCAGACCTTTTATACACATTAAGGTTTTTTTTATTATTCATTATTATTATTATTATTTTTAAAAAATATAGTAATAATGGATTAAATTATTGTTTCAGGATCCTGAAAAAGTGTCTCGATTATTAGAAATAAAAAAAGATACAATGGTTTTTACATGTGGGCATTATTATCCAATTTCATCGTCGGAATTTCTGCCACGTTTGGAAACAGAATTATTAGTTTCTCATCTTCCTTGTACCGCGGAAGTTTTGGGACGTGTATTTCAACAAAAAGGACAGTTGGAAACCCTTTGTCCTCAGTGTATACCTCGTGCTCTTCAGACAGTCATTAATAACTCAACTAATAGATAAGAAATTAACTTGTGCTCCTTTCCACTAAAATATTACACCAAATAATTTGGACTTCCAAAGGTTTTTATTACATGACATTATTTATTAATCAAGTATTACATTAAACATCAGACTACTATATTTATATAGTTTATATTTCATATATACCAAAAGTTGTGTTTTAATCAAATTTTCATATATATATATTAATATATAATCTGACGTCATACAAAATGTAAAATATAGTCATTTATTGTAATTTCGATGATTTTACTGAATTATCAAAACCGAATTTATATTTTACAGTTTCTTAGGAAAAAAAAATATATATTACATTTTTAAATATAATTCAATAATAGAATTAATTTAAAATAATTGAATACTAATTATATATTTTAGAATTGGATATATGGATTTAAAGATACGTACATCGTTAAAAAATATCGTGATTATTTTATTCTAAATATTTTGACTGAATAATACAAAATTTTACATACATTTTACATGGAAATATGCGCACATACATTTTCGAAGGCCTAATTAGTATTGATATTAAATATTCAACACTTTTTTTTTTATAATTACAACTAACAGTGTAGGTTACATAGGCCTTGAACTATATTTTCGAGCAAATGTTATTTTTTATTTTACGCAAAAAGAGAAATTTTTTTTGTTTCAAAGATTTGTTTTCTTTGTACAAAAACAATTTTATATTTATCTGGTTTGAGCGTCTCCGACCTCCTTCCTTTTTTTTATCTATTAACTAATTTAGTAACATGCACACTTTTTAAAAAAGTTATATATATGTACAAATTGATTGGCTTGGCTAGAAATTAAAACAACATATGGTAAAATTTTAATACTAATCATTACTAGATTGATTTTTTTTTGTGAATGATAGCGTAAACAATGCTTATTTTACAATTTATTGAGTTATTAAAAATGAAATATGTTTAAGCGTGAATGAAATGGAAGAAAAGTTTATATTTTTTTTAATACATACAAAAGGAATTAGAATTTTTCTGAAAAATTCATTCACAAGAATTTTTAATGTTAAACAAACATTTTATAACGCCATAAAACAACAAAATGAAAATAACATGTGCATTCTAGAACTAAATATAACAAGAAATATTGTTTGGAACAGTTCAACAATAGAATTATCAAAAAAGGGAGAAATAAAAACACCTGTCAGAAATAAATTAATCATTTCCAAAGCGAAATCAATCATAAAATTAAAATAGATTTAAAATTTCCATTTTTTTTCACTAATTTGTCGTATTTATTAATAAATTATCAATTGTTAATTATTAATTTATAATTTATTAAATTTAAATAAATTTTAATTGTAATTTAAAAAAATTCAAAAAGTAAAAATAAACTTTTCTTTAGTGAAATTTCTTTTTACTTTCAAAATAAATTTTGAAAGAGTATACACTTGAGGTGTGACAGTACTGTAATTATTTCCCAATTTTTCGACGTACTTATGGAATAGAATATAAGCAGATGTAAAAATGAAAAAACAAAGTAAACAAAAGAATTACATATTACATACTTTTCACAAACATACAAATTATTAGATATTATCTAGTCCACAGTCTGACATTGTTAAAGTACAACAAAGTTAATACGCGTTTCAATGAATGTTTAAAATACATTAAGAATGTAATGAAAAATGATAGATAAATTATATATATATATATAAATGAATAAGTACACACAGTTTCTGTTTCACTGATTAGATCTATTTTTCAATGATCTTTCTATTCTTTACATATTATTAAGAATCTTGAAAAAATTAAAAATTTTTTTTTGTTTTTTTCTAGCAATCATTAAAAAACACATGTAGCTAATATGTAAAACAGAGACATTAAATAAATTTCGGCAAGATAATTTGCAATAATAGAAATTTTTTCATTTTCATTCGAATAATTAAGAATAGAAGGAAAATTAAACACTTCTTTGAGTGTATTTTTTTTTTTAAATATGTACAAAAAAGAATTTTTCTATTCGGAATGTATTTAGAGGAAACTAAAACGATTTAAAAAAAAGAGTAAATACGTTACGATAAGATAACACATGCGCATTATTTAAAATAAAGAATTGCACTTATTGTTTAAAATCCTCTCTGGGGCTTTTTTTTTTATGAAGCTGAAGCTGGCACCTACTTATTAGCACCCATTTAATTTTTGAAATATTCAAGTTGGTATTAAAACAAAAGAATATCATTTGTCAAAAATCTAAACATCAAAAGGAATGTATATAATTCAAAGGTTATTCATTAGAAAACAAATGAATAACAAGAAAAAATATCAAAAAAGAATTTAAATATTTTTTAAAATAAATAATGAAAATAATAACGACAACATTGAAATTTACAATAACAAATTATTCTTTTATTATTAATTAATAAATGCATTTAGAAATAGGAAAAATATTATTACTTTTTTTAAAACAAGTAGAAGTTAAAGAAAAATAATTTAATTTTTAAAAGATTATCCGTTCAACTTCTACGAAAATTTTTTAATTTTTCTCGACAATAAAATTTAACAGTTCCCAATTTTTTTTCAGTCTATTGGGGATTAAAAGAAGTTTAAAAAAAATTGTGATCGCGAGACTTAGATTCCAAACGAAATTTCCAAGATTTAACGTTGAAAATTCGAGAAAAAAATTCCAATTTCTGCCTTGAATAAAATTTAACGGTTCCCAATATTTTGTTAGTCTACTGGGGACCCAAGGAAGCTAAAAAAAAATTGCGACCGCGGGACTCGAACTCTGGACGAAATTACAGAGATTTTTCATCCATAATTTAAGAAAAAAAATTCCAATTTCTGCCTTGAATAAAATTTAAATGTTTCCAATATTTTTATAGTCTACTGGGGACCCAAGGAAGCTAAAAAAAAATTGCGACCGCGGGACTCGAACTCTGGACGAAATTACAGAGATTTTTCTTCCATAATTGGGGAAAAAAAATTCCAATTTCTCCCAGAGTTCGAGTCCCGCGGTCGCAATTTTTTTTTAGCTTCATTGGGTCCACAGTAGACTAAAAAAATATTGTAAACCGTTAAATTTTATTCAAGGCAGAAATTGGAATTTTTTTCTCGAATTTTCAACGTTAAATCTTGGAAATTTCGTTTGGAATCTAAGTCTCGCGATCACAATTTTTTTTAAACTTCTTTTAATCCCCAAAAGACTGAAAAAAATTGGGAACTGTTAAATTTTATTGTCGAGAAAAATTAAAAATTTTTCGTAGAAGTTGAACGGAAAATCTTTTAAAAATTAAATTATTTTTCTTTAACTTCTACTTATTTTAAAAAAAGTAATAATATTTTTCCTATTTCTAAATGCATTTATTAATTAATAATAAAAGAATCATTTGTTATTGTAAATTTCAATGTTGTCGTTATTATTTTCATTATTTATTTTAAAAAATATTTAAATTCTTTTTTGATATTTTTTCTTGTTATTCATTTGTTTTCTAATGAATAACCTTTGAATTATATACATTCGTTTTGATGTTTGAGATTTTTGACAAATGATATTCTTTTGTTTTAATACCAACTTGAATATTTCAAAAATTAAATGGGTGCTAATAAGTAGGTGCCAGCTTCAGCTTCATTTTTTTTTTTTAGTGGATAGCCTTTTTAATTTATTTTATACGGATGTTCAATTGCTTTTATTCAGATGCACTATTTTCCGGAATAATGAGAGCCAATGTTAGAAGGTGGTCCTCTGTGATGATGGTGGTGATGCTTGTGTCCCGGACCAGAATATCTACTTCCAGGTCTCGAGTGAACAATGGCGTAGTGATCACTATTCGTTGATATGGATCTCGTAGAATTCATTGTGGATCCGCCGGAAGCATAGCCGGGTTTACCATTCAAAGAATACCTGAAAAGATAATAAATGTTTAAAAATCCCAAGTTTCAAACGGTAACAATTTTTTCTTTTAAATAAAATAGAAACAATATAATAAATAATAAACAAAATTAAAATAATTAAAATAAAAAAAATAATTAAATAAAAAAAAATATAAATATTGAATAAAAATATAAAAGTGAATAAAATAAAAATTTACATTTAATTAATAAAAATATTTGTAAATAAATAAATTGAACCAGTCGACATTAATTAATTTGCATCAAATGAAGTATCGGGCATTGTTACATTGTACTTCCGTGTCCTCTCTCGTTACAATAAATGTATATATAGATATATATATATACGAATGTCAGTGAAGCGATACGTATATAGTTAAGTATGGAAATGCGGAAATCTCTTGTCTGTTATAGCGGCCGGTTGCGCGGAGATGAAAAAGAGAAAGAATAGAATCTAGTGCAGACGAAGATATCTTTCTACATTAACTATATGCTGGGAAACTGTTACGAAAGGATGAAACAAGTTAATTCAAAAATTGTTCCCGTACAATCTTTCATTGCTATACGGCGCGCTCTTCCAGGAACAAAAAGCATGAGGTCTCCTCTCTTTCAATTCAATGGTCATTGTTTAGGTTTGCTCTTTCCTAATATAAAACCATGCATATATGTGCAACTATTATAATGGTGAAAAATAAACAAAATAATACAATTATTTTTTCACACTACATGTATTACCGCTTCGATAACAACCATTGAATTTCTCTTACTTCCATTCTATTATTCTTTTTCTATTTCTACAATTTTCAATTTAAATTGACATAAAAATCTTTAATTTCTGTACAACAAAACTTTAATTTACTTTTATCGAGAACATTTTTTGTGTTTACAGTTAAAATAAAACAAAATTGAAAAAAAATTAGTTTAAAAATAAGAAAATAACTAAAATAAGTGAATTATATTCTTAATATAAGGAATTTGTCAATTAAAAAAAAATATATAATATCTGACCTTGATCCATATTGAGAACCATGCCAACTTCTATAAGGATCGTAATCCTCAATGATTGAAGGCTCCTTTTCTATGACTTCTGTTCGCGTGCAAGTACAAGACATTGCTGAACAAAGGCAGATGTTAATGATAAGCATAATGAGGAACAAAATGCCAAGTGCAACAGCAAGCCAGAGCAACCAGGCTGGATGAACACTACCGTCTTCGTAAGTCGAAGGCAATACTGTCAAAAAAAAGAATTTAATCAGTTTTACGAAATATATATATACATATTTAATTACTTACTATTTAATTAATTATATTTTAAAAAAATCGAACATTGGTTTTATTGTAAATAGAAAGTGACTTTTTATACTTAAACACTGAAATTAATACTTGTTTTTTAAAAAGAAATTATAATTTGTTTTTTTAGATACATAACCTATAAAAATAAAATCAAAATTGTTTCTAAAAATGTCCACCAGAGGGCTGATATCGATATATCGAAAGGATCGATAGAGCGCATGCGCGTGTGGTCAATTCGACTCCGATACGCAGGCGCGTTTCTCATTGGTCAGCGTCAGCCAATAGAAATCGAAAAGAGTTGGGACGGTGGTAGTAGTGGGGGGAGCGACTCCCGCCGGAGCGTCAGTCGTCGTTTGGTCTTCAAAGGGTGAGTATGGAAGAAGAAGCCTGGTCTGTAGAGGGACCAGTTGAAATTATTAACCTCGCCATGTTGCTATTTCAATTTTTTACTCAATTACTCTCTTTTCTTTTACAGGTTGTTACCAATAGCTGACCCTCTTTCCTCTAATTTAATCCCATTTTCGCGATTAAACGGAAGGGGAAACTTAATCCAATCAAGCTCTACTATTGTTTGGACGTTCCTAAGAAATCTGAATTCATGACTGGTGAGTTTGGTATATGATTTTTCGTTAATATCGTTAAAAATATATTTTCAATTATTGATTTCCATAACCTTTGAACGTAATTTCTAATTAATTATTCATTTACCTAATCTCTCAAAGAGCCATATCCATTTTTTTGAAATTATACCCCCCTCCCCTCATATAATGGACTATTCTGTACATTAGCGCCATTTTTTCCTCTTAAATAGCTTGACCCTCCTCCCACTTCGAGAATCACATGGATGGCAATCCCTGTATTCATTATTCTAAAGCTCTTTCAAAATCTTGAATTTTGTTTTATGGTTGATAAGAAAAAAACATTTTTAAATCTTTTATAACAGTTATACTGCCATAAATGGGAATACGGCGCATGCGCGCTGCTTCAATTTTGCTCAGTTAGCAACACGTAAGGTGGAACGTTCCGCGCTAGCCAATAGAAACCGAAAAGACTGGACGATGTTAGTAGTGGGGAGAGCTACTCCCGCCGGAGCGTCAGTCGTCGTTTGGTCTTCGAAGTGTGAGTATAAAAAATTAGATTTGTTTATAGGGGAAGTAGTGGAGACGAAAATAACAAGGTGGCCATGTTTCTGTTTCGTTTCTGCTTATTCCCTCTTTACTGAATTTACATTATGTCTTTTAGGTTATTTTCTTCGAAGGGTAAATACAGGAAAAATAAACCTGTTAAAAGATACAATTGCTGCTTTAATTGTTAAGGCAAATTTTTATTTGAAATTCTGATCGCTACCTTACTTGTATTTATCCTTCAAGACTGGTTAGTTTTAAGGATAAATTCAATGTTTTGTTTTTATTAACTGAACAATAGTGGCTTTGTATTTTTTTTATTGCGGTTAGTGTGAATTTTCCCGATTCGTAAACGGAAGTGTTTACGTATAAATTTTGTAATTTCATTTTTGCGACTGGTAAACAAGTGTTTTTGATGCAATAAATCTTAGCTTGTATTATTCACAAGGTCAATTTTAGGATTTTATACGGTTTAGTTTTTCATATCAAATTAACGAATTTTTCGATGGTGTGAATTGCCAATTTTCACGACTAGTAAACGGAAGTAACAATTTCTGTGATTATCAAAGGTTTAAACGATTATTTCTGTATTTTTTATTATAACGTTAGTTTTCAAATTGCTGAATTTTCGTGACTAATTATATTTTCAGTGTATTTCAATGATGTAAACGATTATTTTTATAAATTTCTTCTTATAATCGCAACATTAGTTTCCAAATTGCTGCTATATATTGAATTTTAATGGTGCTAACGATTATTTGTATTTTTTTTAATCGCAACGTTAATTTTCAAATTGCTGCATTTTCGTTTTTTCGCGATTAATTAATCGTAGTATCTATTTCCGGTGAATTTCAATGTAAGTAAACGATTTTCTGAAATCGGGTAATTATCTATTTTTATTCCAGTGTTGAGTTTCGCGAATCAGACATTAGTACGAAATTTTTTTTAAGTTTGTGACGTAATTTAAATTTAAATAATTGAAGGTTAAATTTAACGAAGCTGAAGTACACAACGTTTATGATAAACGATTTTTAAAGAAATAATTTTTAAAATGAAAAATTCTCTAATTTTTTGCCTAAAAAATATTTTTTTTATAATTTGTTGACTAATGAAAACTACAAGATATATTTTTTAGGCAAAAAATTATAGAATTTTCCATTTTACAAATTTTTTTCTTTAAAATCGTTTATCATAAACGTTGCGTACTTCAGCTTCGTTAAATTTAAATAATTGAAGGATTAATCTTATTTTCTTAATTTATTGTTGGCGTTTATTTAAATTATTTTTCAATTTTTAGGTACAGCTCTCCTGTCAGTTTTTTATAAAAGTAAAAGAAGTGTACAGCAGCTATTTAGACCTGTCAATTGCTGTTATTTGGACATTCTAGGACATTTTGAATTTGTAACTGGTGAGTTTGGTCTTTTTTAAGTATAATGAAGTGATAATATATTTTTCAATACTTTTCTAATTAATAATTTTTTTCTAATTATTATTATATTAAATTATCTATTTGCCTACTCTCTCAATATTAATTTTAATTGCAATCTTGAATTTTGCGCAAAAATAAAATTTTTTTATTTGCTAAGAAAAAACAGTTTAAAATCTCTTTATACCGGGGTTTTCAGTTTTTATAATTAATATTTAATTCAATAATCAATTTTTTTTTCTAATGTAGAGTTGTTCGTTAGCGAAATTTTTTGTTTTATTTTTTATTTAATTAATTTTGTTTTTCAATTTTTTTCAGGCAGCTCTCTAAGTTCTCAGCAGAAAGAAAAGGAGGAAAAGCAGAAGTCTATGGAAGCTTTTCAGACCAGGTTTAATGCTGTCATTGTTTCGATATGGGAATTTGCGATCGGTAAGTGATGTTTTTTTTCGTACAAAAATAAATCTTCTTCCATTAAAAATGTAGACTTTTAAAAATTACAAATTTTAAAAAAAGTCAAACGAACTTTTTTTTATAAGTAAATAATTTAAAAAAAACAGATAATAGGGCAAGCTATTTATTTTTAAGGAATATTTTTAATATTGATTTTTGGGTCTTATTTTTTAATTGCAAGTATTTATATAATAAAAACGGTTCTGTTTGTGCTTTCAAAAATGCTGTTAGGAGAATTTTTTTTAGTTACTTTCTTTAGGCTTGTGTATTTATATTTTTATGCATATGAATAATATAGAGAAAAAAAAAATCTCACCAGGTGGTTCTCCAGGTTCAAGGACAAAGACACTCGTACTTGCGACAAGGACTGCATCTTCGTCTGCAGTATTTTGTCCTTTGTTGAATCCTTTTATTAAAAACTCATCATCTCCTTCACAAACGGGAGTTGCGCAAGTTCCTGTATTTAAAATAGATAAATATAAACAAAACTCTTTCAGATTGCAAATTTAATTTTCATGAATCTTTTTTAGTTCCTGTTTGGAAGTGAGATTCATTTTCATATTTTTTCTATATTAATTTATTTTCGAAATTATTATAGAAAATAAGGGTCATTGACATAGTAATTGTGAATGTAATATTCATATCTTGAAGGTCAGACAGACATAAATTTTATTTACCAAAGGGCTTTTGTTACCAACCTCTTTTGTAACCTTGGAATGTACACTCGTCATTTTTCATTTCTTACAAGTACATAGAAGTTCACTATTGCTTTTACAGCCACATAAATGTATTTTTTTTTACCGAAACCTATTTTTTTCAATCTTTTGGAATCAATTTTTTTGAAAAAGGAATTCAATGGGTTAGAATGTATGTTATCTTAATTGTAAAATAGGGGGAAAATATTTAATCTAAAATATACATAGTGTAATAATCTTTTTAAACGTGTAAGATATATGTCTAGGAATAATTTGATCACTTGTTTGCACGCATAGGGTATAATGTGTAAAAAGCTCTCAAGAAAGATGGTGAACTTGGATTTGGTTTGTCGTGTATGTGTGTTTGTGTATATGAGATAGAGAGAGAGAGAGAAAAAAAAGAGGATAGAGAGAGAATGTTTGTAGCTTGGTGTAAGCAAGGTCAATTTCTACCCCCAGTTGAAACTTGTTTTAACAAAATCCGATAGGTAGAAATTAATGTCTGCTTCTATACAGAATCTCGGACCGGCTTTTCTTAGACACAAGCAATGCCACAAGATGGTATAACCTCATGTTCCTCTTCAGAGACCAGTTTTATTATACGCTATTCGCAACAGTGTGTATTCAATTCTGAATACAATACTGTATAGGTCCTATAAGATAAGACAGTTAAAACACAACAAAGACGACAAAGAGACTTGCATTTTTCATAATCGACATTTATATACAGAGATTGCTATATCGTTGCAGGGGCGATGTCTGATGATCGCGATTTGGTATCACTTTCGATTAGATGAATCTGAATTTTGTATTTAACATTTTTTTTACAAAATAATTTATTTAACATAATTTATTTAAAACTAGCAAAATTAAACGCGCGTCAAATTGAGTATTTAATTGTTTGTTATAAAGAAATTAAAGATTAATATTATTAATAATAATTTAATTTAATAGAATATTATTACATATTAAATGATGATAATGAAAATTATACGTTTACAGGCCTCGGATTATACGACTTTTTCCGACTTTTTTCAAAAATACGACTTTTATCGACTTATTTTAATAAAATGTGACATTTTTTTTTAATTTGAAAAAGAATGTAAATAAAATACATTTTTTTGGTATAAAATGTAGATCTTCTTCAATTCAATTATTTAACAAATTTTGAACTAAAATGATTCTTCACTAAATTAATTATTTTTAATAATTTTAATGAAATACATTACAAATTCAATTATATCAAAATTATTTTTCAATTAAAATTTTTATGAAATTTAACAATTGTTTATAATTTAAAAAAAAAATATCACAATAAAATTGAATTATTTTTTAAAACTTTCAATTCAAAATAAACTAAAATTCAATTATTACCCGAAATTTTAATTCAAAATCAATTAAAAATCCAATAATTATCCAAAATTTTCAATTTAAAATTTAATTATTTACCAAGTTTTTAATTTAAAATGAAATAAAATTCAATTATTTTCTAAAATTTCTATTCAAAATTAATTATCCAATTTTTCAATCAAAAATGAACTTCAATTAAATTATTATCCAAAATTTCAATTAAAATTCAATTATTTCCCAAAATTTTCAATTTAAAATGAATTGAAATTCAATTATTTTCCAAATTTAAAATCAAATAAAATTTAATTATTCTCAAAAATTTGAATTCAAAATTAATTGAATTTTCAATAATTTGAATTTAAAAGCATCTAAAATTTTCCATCGAAAATTTGTTTTTTAAATTTAATAATTTCAATTATAACTCTAAGGAAATTCAATTATTTTTAACTATTTTAATAATATTCTTTGAAATTTCAACTATCTGAAACCATTTTTCAATTAAAAATGATTTTCAAATTATTGTATTTTGTCCGCATTTTCTAATAAATTTTTAGTGAAATCATCTAAAATTTTAATTACAAAACACTTAAAGTTTCAATTAATTTCAAAAATTTTAATTTTAAATCTTTGAAAATTCAATTAAATTTAAAAAAATGTTTTCAAAAAATTGTTTGATAAATTACTTTTAGTTCTGTAAAATTTAATAATTGTTTGAAAATTAACAACATCTTTTGAAATTTAATTATTTCTAAAAATTTCAACTTTAACCCTTCGAAAAGGATTATTATTAAAAAAAAAATTTTTTATTTAAAAATCTGTAAAATATTTTTGTTAAAACAAAAGACAAATCCACTTTTTTTTGGAATATAAATCGATTAAAACTACTTTTTGTGTCTTTAAGTTGATTCGAGGCCTGTGTTTTTATAATTAATATTTAATAGGTATTCGTTGGCCTCTGGTAGCTTAAAAATAAATTTTTAAAAATAAATTTTTTTCAAATTACTATCTTGTACGAAATTTCCTGGCGCATCTAATTTCTCATCATACATTTTTTGTATTTGTACACAATTTTTGAATCAATATACAACTTTAAAAAAAATTTCGTTGATAAACGTTATGTACTTCAGCTTCGTGAATTGAATTTTCGAATTTGGAATTTTAAAGAAACTTATTCCGAAATTTGGAAACACAATAATACAACTTTGGCAAAATTGAGAAAAAGAATTGTCAAAATTTGACATGTCATAAAATTACTATTCAAAAAAACACGTGAAATCAGAAAAAGCCAACTTCAAGTTAGGACAGAAGGACAGACCAAGCATTTTATTATTATGTAATAATTTATTTAAAAAAAAATTATTTAAAATAATTTTTTTTACAAAAGAATTTTTTTAACATAATTTATTTTTACAAAAGAAATTCTTTTTTTTATTTCAATGAGAAATTATTTTTTTTTTTTAATATTGCATAATAATTTTCATTTTAATAAACGAGTATTAAATTGCATTAAATTGTGATAGGAAATATGATTATTATCTTATCCTCCTCCACTCATTAAAATCTCGGCATTCTTTTCCCGCCGGTAGTATATATTATAACTTTCATTTGCGCGCATTCTATTCAGGAAAAAAAAATTGTGTGTATATTGAAATCAACATTGTGTTAAGTTATGCGATAATATATATTTTTTTTAATGTTATGAATATTGTATAACTTGACTAACCTTTACAGACTGCGATGTCGCATTGAAAATGAACTTGTGTACTACTGTCTGGAAATCTGAACATTGAGAACAAGGTTGCTTCGGCAAATCCCGTGTTTCGATCGTATATGAATTTCGTCATCACTTGTTTTTTCTCTATTATTGGACACCTTTCAAATTTAAAACAACAATATATTAGTTTAAAAAAATAATAAATTATTAATAATATCGAAATTTACTTTGACAGGAAATTAAAATTTGTATCCACATAGAGAAAAAATATATATTTATCTCAGAGTCAAATATTTCAAATAAATTTTATTTGTGTTAAATAAAAATTTTTTTTGGCGCTAAATAAAATTTTATTTGTGCTAAATAAATTTTTTTTTACTTAAAACATAAAAAATATATTAGGCTTTGAGAGACATATTTTTATTGGCTTGAACTAAATTTTATTTGGTTCAAATAAATGTCAAAATATTTTTCTGTAGCTGAATTTTTTTGTTTCTCTATAGCAAAAAAATTGAAATCCAATCGAATTTTAATATTTGCTAATAAAATATTTCAAATAAAATTAATCATTATAGCATGTTATTTAAATAACATTCTCTATAGGAAATAAATTCCAATAATTCTCAGTGAAATTCTCAATGAGATTATAAATGTTGTCTTCAATTTTATTTAATTTCTTTAATTCTCTCGCGCATTTTATACAATTATTTTCTAATTGCATTAATTTAATATATTTTTATAAACAATGTTAATATTGAAAGTAAATTCCTTAAATATATATATATATATATATTGAATTAATTACAGAAATTTAAAGATTGACATACCCTTTATCGTCTAGCAGACCTTGGGAATCGTTCTTTTTGTTGAAAGCAAAACAATTCTTGACGCGTATACCATGCATTCCTGTAACGTAAAATAACAGTTGAATATTGTGCGCATTCAATGTACAATATAAAATTACTCTTTCTCTCTTTTTCCAATGTAGTATATATATTGAGAGGTGAGAAAGTATATTATGGATTCGCTTAATTTAATATGCGAAAAGAGAAACAAGCCCGTTGCATTGCAGCTTCTTCTTTTAGCTGTTCTATATGTATGTGCCAATAGTTTTTCCAAATAATAAATCGTGGTTACTGTTAATTTTACAGTTATTTCTTCTCTCAAATTTTTACTACTCTATTTTGCTTTTTTTCGTTAATAAATTAATGCGAAATTTTCAAATAATATTCTCTATAATAATAAATACTCTATATACTATAATAAAGAATACTTCACTAATAATTTCGGAAATTTTACACTCAGAAAAAAATTTGTTAACAACCAAATTTCTTTTTGCAGATTCTATTATTGATGGTTTATCACGTCCTTCAAAGATAAGGGCGAGAGTAAAAAAGGGTTATCTTGAAAGACACGGAATTCTCCACTGGAGTTGCAGACTTTTTAGAACTCGGTCTATTTTTACGGTTATTTTTCACATTTTTTGAATGGAAATTTAACTTGAAAGTAGGGATCTCCGAGGGCTATTTAGTTTTGAGACTCTCCTTGAAGCTGAAAATTTGTTATTAAGGTAAATATTTTATTGTTTATTTTATTGGAACAATTTTATTAGAAAAAATTTAGTTGTAGCATTTTTTTCAATTTTTTAAAATTTTTTCAGGCAGCTCTCGAAGTTCTCAGCAGAAATAGAAGGAGAAGCTTTTCAGACCTGGTTTAATGCTGTCATTGTTTGGATATGGGAATTCGCGATTGGTAAGTGATTTCTTTTTTTTCGAACAAAAATAAATCTTCCATTAAAAATGGAGATTTTAAAAAAATTACAAATTGAAAAAAGTCAAACTAATGATTTTTATAGAATAATCATGCGTCGCCAAATAAATATATATATTTGATTTCAAACAAATTTTGCTTGAAATAATGAAAAAATTGTGTTAATCCAAAAAAGTGGTATATTTGATTGAAACAAAATTTTTTCTGAGTATTCCATTTAGAATATTAGTAATATTATTATTATAGTAATATTTAATTAGAACTATTAAATAGATTAAAAATTTTGTATTAAATATTTTCATATTGAAAATTTTCAAATATTAAAATTTTAGAAAAAGGAAATAATTAGGAAAAAATTCTGTAAACAATAATTTGCACAATTAATTGATATTACCATCGGGTCGTGAGATTTCTGCCTGAAGAGTGTAATTCTGACCAATATAGGCAGTTTGAATCCGACGAGTTCCATCCAGAAGTCGTAGAGAGACCAAAGAAGTCTCATTTCTAAAAATCATTGTCCTATTAGTATTTTTCACAATTTTATCGTCATCATCTATTTTAATCTTCAGAGATAAAATTTTAAGATTAAAAAAAAAAATTGTGTTCGTTTATCCCTAAGTGGTTAGATTAAATTTAATTATATAAATAAATATGGGGCATTCTATGGGAAATTTTCATTGAAAAATTTTTTTTTTCCGAAACATTTTTTTTTCGAAATCAATATGAAAAATGAGGAAATACGTATTTTTTAATTTTTTTATTTGATGAAAATGAATAAAGTTTTGATTTTTTGAAATTTAACGTCAACGAAGAAAGTGTGTTTTTGGAACATTTTTTAATCTATTGTACTAATAAATTAAAAAATTATGCTATATATGAAATTTGTTCATTTTTTCTCAAATTTTTCAAATATGTGCTCAAAAATAACGTACCTATAACAGAAGCAACAAAAAAGTTGAAATTAAACTTATAAAGTGAGTTTTCTCAAAAGAGACACTTTCGATTTTTAATTTTTTTTTTTTTTTGCATTACAATCTCTGATGATTGAAGAATTTTTTCCCCTATCTGCGAAAGTGGTATTTTTAGTTTTTAAATTACTATTTATAATTTTTTTAGTACGGCTCACAGAATTGAAGCATTTTTTCTACAAATATAACCTTTTTCCATTAACATTCATTTGTTTTTTTTTTAATTTTCATAAAAACATACTAAAAATCGTTGCGTCAAGCTTAAAAATTGTAAATAGTAAAATCATCAGAGATTGTAATGCAAAAAAAAAAAAAAATTAAAAATCGAAAGTGTCTCTTTTGAGAAAACTCACTTTATAAGTTTAATTTCAACTTTTTTGTTGCTTCTGTTATAGGTACGTTATTTTTGAGCACATATTTGAAAAATTTGAGAAAAAATGAACAAATTTCATATATATAGCATAATTTTTAATTTATTAGTACAATAGATTAAAAAATGTCCCAAAAACACACTTCCATCGTTGACGTTAAATTTCAAAAAAATCATAACTTCCTTCATTTTCATCAAACAAAAAAAATAAAAAAATACGTATTTCCTTATTTTTCATATTGATTTCGAAAAAAAATGTTTCGGACAAAAAAAAATTTTCAATGAAAATTTTCCATAGAATGCCCCATATTCAAATGAAATTTTATTGTTAGCGTTCATTTTTTTTCTAAAAAAATGATTGGTATTCGGAAAATCAGTTCTAAATCAGAATCTAAAATTTGAGAAGAAATATTTCTTGGAAAATTCAAATGAAATGTGACATTAAATTATAAAATAAATGAAAACTAATCGTGGGAGATGATACTGTTGTATAGGGAAATCATTATAATTATAAAAAAAATATGAATGAAATGAAAGTAAAATAAAATGAAATATTAATTAGGAAGGTATTTAACTGTTTATACAAAATTGGAATGCTAATGGGTATGCTCTCAAAGTAAAATAACGTATATATATATACATATATTTATAAAAATTTTCTATACACATGGAGTATGAAATTCCAAGTATCTTTAGAATTTTGGATTTTCTGAGAGTCAGTGAATAGGAACAGAGCGCGTTCAGAATCATCGTTTTCTATTCACGATATGTGTTAGCTGTTTACTCACGAGGTTTACGCATCGGTAACCTGCATAGAGAAAATAATTCGCCATAAATCTATTTGTGTGTGTATATATGTAGACACACAAGATACTTTCCGAGGTTCGTTTTATATATATATAGTACATATATAGATATATACTTAATTCCTACGATCGCGAGAATGTGAGTAAGCGGTCGAGGGATCATTAAAAGGAATAGAAAGATGTTAGTGATTCATTTCGTATTCATTGGAAATTATATTGATGGGTTTTGCGCTACAAAACTACCAATTTACTTCTTTTTTCTTAAAAAAAAAAAAAAATGTCCAGTTAGTTTACGTTCTATTTACCTTTGTCATCAGCAAAAGTAAATAAAAATATATATATTTTAAAAAAATTTTAACTCACTTGGCATTTTTAAATCCCGCCTTGCCACAAGTAATCACGTAAAATTTATCATCTGCTAATTCTAATGTTCCATGTATTCTTACTGCTATAGGAACTGATCTTTCTTCCGTGTGCTGAAAAAAAAATTAAATTAGAAATTCTAGAAAAATTTCATCTTCAAAATCGTAGAGTTAAAAAAATTTTCTATCCTTCGTAATACAGTGAAGAGATAATTTTATACAATGATGATTCATAGAGTTTAGAAAACGCGTCATATACGTACATTATTAACAAGAACGCCACAATAATCCGGCGAGCCTTTACTGGCAAAAAGATTTATTCCAAGAGTGGCGTGATTCGATCCATTTCCTGGAACCATACATTGTGGTGTTCGAAAATCTCGAGCATGAACAGCACCCACAAAACTTTGATTTAGATTTACATGAATGGTCATATGACCAGCTTTACATGTTGCCGTCACTGTTGGTTGGAATTCTGTGTCCAGCAATTGTCCGCTGACCTGTAACTGACATAACAGAAAAAAAAAGTCCCGTCAATTCGCATCTCATTTAAATTTATATGCAATCTTCTATATATTACACACTTTTTTTTCTCTTAACAAATATTGTTCTAATTCTAATTTCTATATTGTTTTGTTTATAATCTTTTTTTTTTTCTTTTTTTTTTCCTAAGCATCGGAGGGTGAAATATAAACATTGAGAATATTATTGTCGAGGAAATTCTTACTGTTCCTTGGGTGGGTAATGGGATAAGTGTTTTTGCGTGGGATTATGAAACGGTACAGGAACGTTTGTTTAAGAGTCAAAAGGAAGTTGATAAATATATAAACACATAGACAGAAACAGTCATTTGTCATTTTTTTTTTTTTTAGTGTTGTGTATAGGTGAATTCATGATAAATTGAGAGGTAGATGGAATAATAGTACATACACTATTGGTCACTATTTATCAATAAAGGCCTTGGATTGAACGATATTTTTCGACTTTTTCCAAATTTTTTTTTTTAATTTTCGACTTTTTTCGATTTATTTTATCATACGCTGCGAATTTTACGACATTTCTTATAACATTTTTTACAAAATTTTTAAATAAAATACGATTTTTTTTTATAGCATAAATACAATGCAACTTTATACAAAATTTATAATTACTTAATAAATTTTTAACTATAATTCTTCGCTAAATTAATTATTTTCAATAATTAATTGAATTGAATTACTTCAGTAATTAAAGAAAATTCTTCAAAAATTCAATTATCTGAATCAAATATTTTTCAATTAAATATGTTAAAATAATCATTAATTTGTTTGAAAATTCTAAAAGAAAATTTCAGAAATAATAATTCAGAAATCATTTTCATACCGAAAATTTAATTTCAAAATTACTTGAAATTCAATTATTTAAAATCAAAAACCTAATAATTTAACAATTATAATATTAATTTCAATCAGTAATTTTTATCCAGTTCTTTGAAAAAAATCAATTAAAATTATTTGTAATTAAAAGCTCTGTAAAATTTAATTATTCACAGAAATTTAAAAAATCTTAATCAATTAAAATCAGTGTCAAAGAAATCAGGGAATTTTATGAAAAATACTAGCAGGGCGTCTAACGGTCAGGGAAAGTCAGGGAATTTTGTTGGTCAGGGAAAAGTCAGGGAATTTCAGAAAATTTCATTCAAAGTGAGGGAAATTTCTGTAAATTTCTACAAAAATTAAAATTTTTTGTGAATTAAAAAATTTTTTAATCTATAGAAACTTGAATGGTGTTTATAAATTTAAGTTTTCATAAAAATTTAAATAATTCAATTATTGAAGAATGTAATGAAAATTATTGTTTGATAATAATTTAACAATTAATTTAAGTTAAATTTTTTTTTAAATAATAATTTATTTTAAAAAATAAATTTTTTTTTCAATTAAATTTTTATCTCTAAATTTTTAGAATTGAATTTTTTATATTGAAAATTTTAGAATTTAATTTTAGGGGGGTTTTAAATCAAAAATTTTTAGAAGTAATTTATAAGTTGAAAAGATTTAAAATTAAAATTTTCGAAAATATTAATTGCTGGATTTTTTTAAATATTTGTGAATAAATAAATTTTACACAATTTTTAATTATTAAAATTGATTAAAATAATTCAATTTTCAATGAATTTGATGAAAATTATTGGTTGATAATAATTTAACATTTAAGATAACATTTTTTTTAAATTGAAATTTTTAGAAGTAAAAAAAATTTGAGTAAGTTTTACATTGAAATTTTTTAGAAATAATTAAAAATTTTACAATAATTATAAATTTCAGAAGACTTTAAATTAAAATTTTTAAAAATAATTGAATTTCAAGTGATTTTGAATTGAAATATTTGTAAATTTTATTTGCCAGATTTTTAAAAAAATCTTACACAATCATTAAACAGGGTTTCTAACGGTTAGGGAAAGTCAGGGAAAAGTCAGGGAATTTCAGAAAATTTCATTCAAAGTAAGGGAAAATTTCTGTAAATTTCTACAAAAATTAAAATTTTTTTGAATTTAAAAATTTTTTAATCTAAAAAAAACTGGAATGGTTTTTATTACTATTTGTTACTACTATTAGAAATTAATTTATTATGTCAGTAACCATATTTTTGTCCAAAGAAAGCAGAAATAAGGTTATTAAAAAGTCAATGAAAAATTAAAAAATGTCAGGGAGTAGTCAGGGAAAAGTTAGGGAATTTTTTTCTCAATCCTTGTTTAGACACCCTGACTAGAAAAAATCAAAATTTTAATGTTCCTGAAGTTCTGAACGCTCAAATGAAGGAAATTATTATTTATTTCGAAAAATTACTACAGGAATAAAAAAAAAGTAAATTAAACATTTAATAAATTATTAATTTATTTTTTAATACAGAAAACAATATTTTATAATTAAATTTTGAAATTAAAAAAATAGGAAATAATTTATTCCTTCATTTGAACATTCAGAATTTCAGGTGCATAATTTTTAAAAATTCTATTAAAATTATCATTTTTAAAATCTTTGATTCAGACTTTTGCTTCTAAAAATTGTCTTAATTTATTATAAATGAAAATCTCTTGAAATATTTTCGTTAGGGTTAGGGAAATAATTTAAATTCTAACTGAAAATCGGAAAAAATACAATTTTTGTGGCAACCCTGAAATTTTCAAAAATGTCAATTCGAAATCTTTTGAAATTCAATTATTTATAAATATTTGAATTTAAAACCCGTTAAAATAATTATTTTTGAAATAAAATAATTGGTAACTATGTAATTAAATTTATTAGAAATTAAATTTTTTTTTCGACTTGGAATGTAAATCGATTCTCAAATAAAAAAAAATCGCCTTTTTTTAACATGAATATTCATAAATTGAAAATAAAATGTAAAATTAATTTTTGCATTTTTTCTTATTTTTAGATTTTATTTTTTTCCGTTTTAGTTTTTGAATTTGTATTTCGGCACTTATATCTGAAGGAAATTAAGTTTCATTCCTTTTTCGCTATAGTAGTTAATTCTAGGTTTTGGTTTCAATTACAATTCTTGAGGAAAAGTTGAAAAGTTAATTCAATTTGATGGATGGTTCTTTGAAATGACTTGGGTTTGGCAGACTGCCACAATGAAAAAGGAAGGCGATTATCTGGCCTAAACTGTGTGCATTTTTTTTTCTCTTTTTTTTTGCGAATGGTTATAATGAAAGTCGAGTCGAAACATTTAAAATTTTTGCTTTTTTGCTGTGCTGTCGATAAAACTGGTTTTAAAATGCCCAACAAACTTTCTCGAAGAGATTTATAATTATAGCCTTATGTAAGGCTGGACTTCTGAAATGTATTAAAGCGTCACCAAAACCTTTATCACATTGCACTCTATATATATATATAATATATTCCAACTTGCGTTATGTAAAATTTAGGATATTTTGAATGTAGATTTTATATATGAAATTTAGATAATTATTAAGTGGATTAGTTTTATAAAAAAAAATCTTGAGTTTGGAAAAATATATCTAAATGATTAAATTTATAAAAATAAAAATTTACTATTTTATATAATATTGGAAAGTTGAAAAATTTGATTGAAATTTGTTTTTATATCTGCATTTACGGTAAATTATTAATTAAGACTTGATTTTGTACAGTGAAAAAAAAGTATATATCATTAATTCAAGAAAATCATTTACTTGTCATTTTCTTAATTATTAGTAAAATTTTTTTGGATAAAAATTTTGAATCAAATGGGTTTTGTTGATTCAATACTATTTTTTTCATTTCTTGAAATCAAAATATGTTTGAGGCAAATATAAACTTGATCCAAAAAAAAAAAAAATAATTTATATGAACCAAATTTTTTTCTGATTTTATGGGGGATTTTTATTATTATTGAAATAGTGAAAATAAATTTGTGTTTAAAAAAAAGTGAATCAATGAATATATATATCAAGCCCGCGTAAGTCTCAGGAAAGTTTCGTTGAGGGGTCAATAACACGGCTTTCGAGTTCGGCATCGTTGGTCTCGCATCTCCAGGAGCCTCTTGCATTTTAAAGTAACCTCTCGGCTTTTTTTTACAGCATCATATATGTGCGTGTCTGACTATTATATTATTAAATTTATTCCTCGAAATAATTAAAAACCTACCAATGCGCCTCTAATGATTATTGTTTCAATAAATACAAAATTTCGTGCAAAAAAAAAAAAAAAAAAAAACACATAAATAAATTATTGAAATAATATATTTTATCATATATATTTATGTAAATACCGGTTATTAGAGGCGTATAAATATCACCATTAATTTCACTTTCTATAAATATATTATACATATTAAATATGCATTCTTGTCCAAGACACTGGTATGAAAATAATGTATTGCAGAATTTTGTGTGCGTCGTAAAAAAAAGTAGAACTCGTAAAAACGGTATTTTAGACGGTAGAAAGAATTCCTATTTATGCATAGTATAAAAGTTGAAGTAGCCTTAATCTTAATCTAGTCATTCATTAAATTGTACGTCACGTATTCGACAGGTATGTGAATCGACGACATTGTTTTTTCTTTGACTTTTTCCTTTGTCTCTTTTATATATATAGATTAAATATATTCATAATATTAATGCATTTTTTCTCGCTTTCACTCATAAATTGAGAGAAGATAATTTGCTTAATTAGATGATATCGTATAAAAATTGGTTCGTTTCTTAATTAACATAATTTGAGCAATATAAAAGAGACCGATATATATACTACATATATATATATATATATATATATATATACCAATATCGTTTAATGACTCCTAATAACTTTACACGTCGTTGAATCAAATTAATTTCATATCTTCTAATAGATCAAAAATGCGGAATATATTGTTAGACGGAAAAAAAAGTTTTCTTTCAATTAAAATTTAGAGAGTATATACTTTTTATTTTATTTGTATGTTCTTTTTCTCATAATTTGAAATTTGACTTAATTTGAATATTAGAGTAATTAATATTTTAGATTTTTTAATTATA